GCTGAAATGAACTACAATCGCAAGTAGTACGATCATATAACCTGTATGGGGTATCACCACCAAATTTCTTTTGATCAACCTCACCACTGAGCAATTTCATGTACCCACCACCACAGTCGAGCTTTTGCTCATGCTTGACTGAGAATTGGAAAACAAGGGTCTTGTCCTTGTTGCTAAACTCAGGAAACTGAGCTGAGATGGCATAAAATCTATAGTCTTCGCTGGTCTGAATACCTGCACATATAACACGTGATTGATTACTAATTATTCAAATACAACTCAAATCTTTGAATAAATTTGGCTAGACAAAAAAGACAATCACCTTTATCATTTTGGTCTCCATTCCATTTACCAGATGTGAGGTTCCATTCTCCAGCCATGTTTTCATCTTTCTTCCAGTCAGAGTGGACCCACCGGTCCATCCAGCCATCTAAAGAGCTCAACAAGAATATGCATCAGTATAAAAAAACAAGCCAATCCAGAGTTCTCAAAAAAAAACTTCACGCAGAGTTTGTCAAGCCTATATTCCAGTCAATTGTTGCTACTCCAAGATCACAGCAACATTGAACAAGAGCATAGTATCATAGCCACAGACACATAGATAAACAACGAAGCATACAATACAGTCTACACATATATTACATTTCACAGAAAATGCTTAATTAAAAACAGAAATTCAGATTGATCTGAACATTTACATTCAGATTTATCTCTAGCCAAACAGAAATTCAGATTATCATTCAATTGCCTTTTGATGCAGCACTTCAAGGGAATCCAAACATTTTCATTTTGCAAATCCATTTATCACAGAAACAGCCTAAACTCTTGAGCATTCAGAGATCTATAATCTATAAAAAGAAATCAGAAACAACACATTGCAATCTACGATCCATACATTACAGATCTACAATCAAATCCGAAATCAGAGCCGAATCAAATCAGAAACTAAGAATTGAAAGATCACCAACACAATCAAACGGATGACAAGATCAATGCAGAGCGAGAGTATAATTACCATCAAAACGCTCTTCGAAGATGACTTCGGCCGAGACGAAGGCGACGAAGAGACACAGCTGAACGGCCAGAGGGAGGAAGCTAGGGTTTAACCATCTCGGAGCAGCCATTTTTCTGAGTTACTCTGATGAGGAGTGGGGGGATCGCAGTGAGGCTATTTATCTGCGGGAAGTGCCGAAGTGTTTCTTCGGTTGGTACGTTTCGCTCACTGGTGGAGACTGACGTTTTAGCTCGGATGAGGTGTACCAATGGAATAACGACACGTGGTACTTCGGGGTCACCAGTCTTACGTGGCGGATTTTGATTGGAGCTAACACGACGCCTGCTGGATGGATCAGCAACGAGGGAAGTGAGTGCGTTTGGCGAAGCTTATACGGAGTACTCGAGTGAGTATGTGGCGCTTTTGACATTCGTTTCACGCTTTCGTATTTAAAAAAAGAAGTTAATGTGCCGTGGTAATCTTACCCACCCAAATGTGTTATATTGTTACATTCAATTTATTTTTTCTGTTTTATTCTTATTTTTATTAAAAGCATAAAAGATCCAATCAAAAACTATTATTATTATGATCTATTATTATTATATCATCATTATCGTTATTACTCTATATTTTTAAAATTTCATATCTTTTACTTGTTTCACTTTATATGATTCTTTCAAAAAATAAATTTAATTTTTCTTGAAAAAATATAAGAAAAAAGAAAATTAAATTTTTGTGCGATTATAATTTATGTTGAGAAAAATAAAATGATATGAAGATAAATTTTTTTTAAAAATGAAAAAAAATAAACTTTAGAAGCAAGTTAAATAGAAAACTGAGAAAATAATCCTTAATTATTAGACGTCTTAAAAATTATTTTTAAAATACATTAACAATGTCAATCTAATTCTAATTTTAAAATACATTTTTATTGTTACCTGTAATTTGAGTTTCTAAAGTTATTACATTATAAAATATAAATGAAAAAATATTACCCGAGTATTAAATTATATTATTACACTATAATATGAATGATTATTCTAATATATGAATTGACTAATTTTTTCATTAAAAAATAATCATAAAATAAAAAAATATTGATTATATTATAATATGAATTATCATTACAATTTTCAAAAGTTATTATAAAGTCAGATAAAATTATTGATTTGAATTTTAAATCAAATCATAATTAATCAAATCAGATATATTAGATCAGACTAGTTCCAATAAAATCAGGTTAGATCTAATCTGATTAGAACTACAAAAAATCAGATCAGATCAGAAAAAATAAGTTGAACGGAACAGAACCTTATTAAGCTTATTTCTGTTACTTATCACTTATTCTTATCAGATTTAGGTTCATTCGGATCAGTTTAGATCGTATTAATTCAGATCAGCGCACTAGTTTGACAAACAACCCTTGTCAATAGGATTCACTCCAAGATTTCACAACGGCTATCTCGAACTGCTTACAATGAAGATTTACATGCTATCTTTAACCTCTTCCCCAAGGATTTGAAAGGTTATCCTTGAACCTTTTACCCAAGAATTTTTCGACTATTTTTAACCGTTAAAACTTGAGAATTTAATGGATATTCTCGACCGTAAGATGTGTTTGAAGAACACAAAAATAGGTTCTACACAATGCCTTGATTACAAGGATGAAAAACAAGACTTAACCGGTGTAGAACGAAAATATATACTCTAGAAAAGAAACAATATTAACATATAGATATGAGAGTATATATATCTAAATCACAAGCTCAATAGTGTGTGTATAAAAACAAAATATCAAGAATGAAGAACTAAAATATGAAGACACTTAAAATATAATGTGGAAGGGAGTACTACTTTTCATTAAAGAATAACAAGATATTGCTTAATCCAATTGTTTTGATTGGCAAGAAATGAAATATTTGCGCTAAATATGTAAAAGTGTAGTAAAAAAAAAGAGAAACAAGGCCTAAAATGTATCCTATATTTTGCCCATCTCCTCATAAGTCAAAACTCTTACGCCTTTCCCTTGTCCTCAAACAAAAAAGAAGATTAAAAAAAAAGAAAATGGAAAAAGAAGGTAATGAAAGAAAGAATTGGAAAGAAAAGGCAAACTTTGCGAATAACAATGATCCACGACTACATTTCTCTTTAGAGCATGGGCAGCGGCGAGGTATTTCTTTGTCTCGCTGCGCCACATCACCTTATTCCATAACTTGCCTCGCGAGGCTTTAGAGCATGCGCAGCGGCGAGGCATTTCTTCGCCACTCTGCGCCACGTCACCTTATTCCATAATAGAAATCATCCTAAATAGGACTAAAACATAAATAAAAGTACCAAAATAGGACTTTCATGTTTTTTTCCCCGGGATAGGACTTTGCACTATGGTAATGTGACCTTGCATTGTGGTAATGTGGCAGTGTACATGTGCAAATTACTATGTTTTTTGGTAATGTATATGATCATGGTTCGTAATGTAAGTCCTATTTCGGGAATAAAAACATAGAAGTCCTATTTTGGTATATATTCAAAATTTTAGTCCTACTTTGGTCTTTCTCTCATTTCGTAACTTGCCTCGCAAGGCTTTAGCCTTCCTCAACGCCAAGCGTGTGAGGCGTGAGGCATCTTTCAGGTATTTTTTTATTATTTTTTTATTTTTTATGTAGAAGAAATAATTTTTGGGTCACTCTTGTTTGTCGCTTTAATTCGTTGCTGGAGTTCGTCAATGGGCTACTCGTCGTTGGAGTGCTCGCCGGTGTTCGTTGTTGCTCCTGGAGCCGAAGGACGACGGAAGAAACGACCGGGTCGGGTCACAAAGTCAGGGTCGCCAAACAAGAATTAGGGTAAAGTTTTTTGAAATTTCAAATTGACCTCAAATCTTCAAACATGCTTCCAATTCGGCCCTTCCACAAGTGTCTAGACCCTAAAATTAATTAATCAACACAAATCAGTCTAAAATAACGTGCTTTCAGGTTTTTTTATTTTTTTTGTAGAAGAAATAATTTTGTTTTAAAAAGTACATATATTTTAAAAAAGATAAATGAAATTATTTTTAATAACTAAAATGCATTAAAAAATCATAAAATTGACAAAAATAATGACTTGCCACTGCACAAGATGTCACTCCACTCACTTGACACACGCTGACTGGATTGTCTTTTATTGGTTGAAATGTGCCACGTCAACGTGTGGCATTCCATTTCGTTACTTGCCATTGCCGGTGCTCTTAGGTTTTTCCTTTTTTCATTACTTTGTTTTATTAAAATGATAACAAGAATGGATGTGTGCACTCAGGAATCGATAGAAAAACACATGAGATCATGCAAAAGATAGAAGTGACATCTATTGAAGATAAGTTATGCGAGAATCAACTGTAGTGGCTTGGCCACATACGAATACTTAAGGGTGGACTCAGTGGAGGAATGAATTTTGCAAAAGAGATTTTTTGTAAATGACGGAGGGCTTGTTTTCTTCATCTTATTATTATCACTTACACCAGACCAAATCAAATAAAAACAACTTTAAATTTAACTTATTCTTATTACTTATACTAGACCAAATCAAATAAAAAAATTAAATTTAACTAGGAAACTTAGGAAAATCAGATCAGACGAAGAGAACATGCCGTGAATGTGATACTTCTCTTGGTTCATGTTTTGACCCCAAGTAACTCGGGATAAGGTTTTGTTATTGTGTTATTGCTACATTTTGTTTTTTTTCTTTCTCTGATAAACATGTGGATATTTAAGTTAGAAAAAATGAGTCAGGTTGCTGAGACAGTATTGACTGGGCAAAAAAATTGCTTATAGGTGTGTCAACAAGAACCCTCTTTAAGCAAGTTGGCAGGGTGTATGCCTTTATGTTGACTGTAACCAACAATATCTTAACCCAACCTATTAACCTAATGCTTTCCATCCTTCATAATACTAGGTCGAACTTTGGGTACCATACCAAAACAGAAAATTTGTAGCTTGATCACACATATTCTTCTTCTTTTAAGATGGAATTACTTGAATACTTTTTTTCATTTTATACATTTTATCAATAATTTTAACAAAGCAATTCACTCAAACAATGCATGAACATAAAGCCAATGGAACCAACAAATAGAGGAAATATATCTTACCATTGTGGGAATAGACCTTCAGAAGCACAACCTTATTATGATAATCAGCGTATGCCATTTACTTGGTCTGCCCATAATGGAAGAGGGGCCTGAACGAAAATAGGTTGGTTAGACACAGGATGTATGAATGATAATGTTTCTGCATGTAGTTCATGGCCACCAAATGTTCGACCCTTCCACTCATACACTCCTTCGTATTTTACATCTCCTCTAATAGGAATTCCAAGGTACTGGCAGTGGAGACGGATTTGATGGGTTCTTCCGCTCCGAGGGTATGCCCGAATCAAAACACTGTCTTTCTTAATACCCAAATCGGCCAAAGATTTCTCTTCAGCAACCAATACCTCACCCTTGTTTCCACATTCAGATATTGCCTCCGAGCATCCGACCCCATTAATAGATAGGACTTGGAAATAAGTCTCCATGTCTTTCACGGCTGACCCACCTGGCAGAGACCTGCCCACATCTGATGCGGCATAAACACGCCATGCTCCGTGTTTTGACCGCCCGTGTCCCGACCTCACAGTGATTTGCCCCCATTTAGGTGCTTGTCCAACGCAAAAACCAAGATATGTCTTCTTAACTTTATGCTCCGTGAAAGCTTTAACCAGCTTAGCAGCTACTTTGTGTGACTTGGTGATTAGCATTACACCACTCGTGTCGCGATCAAGTCTGTTAGCTAGATGCAGTTCTGGCACTTTGGTCCCTGAACATAAAATGCATGTTTAATATCAGGGAAATCTTCATTTCACATTTGTCTGGATCCAATTGTCCACTTAGGTTGTGTTTGGTTTGAGGGGATTGAAGGTGAGTAAAATCCTCACACTACTTTTCCTTCCTCGCCCCTCAGTCTCTTCTCCAACAACCAAATTATTGTGAATTGTCAAAAACAATTTAATTAGCATATTAACATTGCTGTCAACAAACAAACTAATTTCAATGTTTCTTTTTGATCTTTTGACATTATTTTGACATTAACCATGCTACACTTACACCACCCTAAAGTTACACCAAAAGTATACACTAATATTTTGATGCTTCACACTGACACAAAATATTGGTGTGTTAACAAAAAAAATTGCACTAACATTTTGTGTCTGTGTAAACTATCACTCTAGCATTACACCGACACAAAATGTAGGTGCAAACCCGTACAAATTGGGGTACTAATCTTAGGTACAAATAGCTTAATCCCTAAATTTAAGTTAATTTGAAAAGCTTACAACTAAATCCGGAAGGAGTGAGCAGATAAACAAAAGAGACACTGTCAGAATAAGAGAGAAACTCACTGAGTTCGTTATCCGAGTCGGTTAGAAGATTAGAGACAGCAGAGAGTACACTTTCGCAATAGACTCCCTGAGGCTTGTTGACGGCGAGGAGCCACTCGTCTTCGAAGACGACGTCGTTCCGGGAGAGAGAAAACGACGCCGATCTAGACGATGCCGTCAAGGCACGGTCAAGCTCGATGTCCTTGGACAGCGACGGAAGCGGCGGAGACAGCGGCACTGGGTAATCATCGAGACCTTTGAGCTCCGGCGTGGGTTGACCTTCAATGGGGGCTTCGCTTGCCGCCATTGAGGCGTTGAGGAAATGGCGATGGAGTCTCAGAGGTCTGACAGGAATGCGTAGTGCGAAAGATGGGAGAAGAAAGTGGAGCGGGGGTATGCTAGTCATTTCATGTCACTGTACCGAATGATGGACCGATGGAGTTTGAAATAATAGCAAAATACTCCGTAGAAGTTTGACAATATTTTTTGATAATTTAGGAAAGAAAAATGCTAGGGTGCCACCACATGGGTGCACCCTAGCATGGTCCTTTAGGAAATCATGATTAATGTGTATAATCTCATAGTAACTCTTATTTCTGTAATTAAGAAAGGAATTCTTATTTCGATATACTTTCAATATTTCAGTAAAAAAAGATAAAGGAGAAATAAATTTAAGATATACCTAAATAATAGAAGTTCTATATTTTTATTCTCAAAATAAAATTTAGAATGTATATATAGTGACAATCATGATCATAGACATTGTCAAAAATATTGTGAGATGTTCATATATACTGCTACATTACCACAGCGCACTCTTAATTAGGATAAAAATATAATACTTCTATTTTGGTACGTTCTCTATATTGATTCCTATTTAGGATGATTTTTAGTATTTTACTCATATTTTAGTCTTTTTCTCACGCAATTACTCCGTATCAATATTTTATTTAAAAGCATGGGAAGTTTGACCATTTTTTCACTCGTAACTTTGCATTATAAATGGTAAGTGTGCATATATAAATATAGTGTCATAAATAAAGGAATATCCTTTATACACAGAAATGGTAATATAATTTATGATATTCATACAGAGTATCATAAATTATACGGAGTATGTAATTAAATACAAAATGGTTCTTTTGATCTTAGAACCTCAAGTTATAATATGACTCGGTGTTCCTACGATACTTCGTTTGTAAATTTGATGGTTGCTACTCCTCTAACTCTTTTTAAACCATATCCCCTTGTCCCTACCTGCCCATGATATCGTCGATTGGCTACAACACTATAGCCAATTGGTGAAATGAGAAGGGGCAGGGGTTGCTGTGGTGGGGTGGACAGGTAGTGGGGCAGGGGGATAGGGTTTAGAAGAAGTAGTAACCATCAATTTTACAAATAGAATACTGTAGGGGTCTCGAGTCATAATATAACCAAAGATTCTAAGATTAAAAGATCATTGCCCAATTAAATAATATGTATATAGTAACATAAATGAATAATATGATCCTAAATAATATAAATAACGAATATATTGTCACTTCTGTGTACATATAAATGTAAAAATGAATAAAATAAGCCTGGGTAATAATGATTCTCACCTAGTTCCGAAGAGAGATATATTTTGGTATCTTGGTTCAATTATTCAAGTGAATGGGGAGATAGAAGGGATGTTATGCACAGTGCAACACCCTAAAACATGCCTTAAACGTTATTTTATGATAAAAATGTATTTTAAAATTATATTTTGACCCAATAATGTATTGTTTATACATTTGACAAAAATTGAAGGAACTTTTCAAGTTAATAATCTTTTGCTAAATCTAATTTACATATTTTGAGTTATGAAATTTTTAAAATATAAAAAATGCAACTTGTATAAAATTAAGAATTGATTAATTTGTTGAACTCCTTAAAAATGATTTATTGAAATAAATCATTAAATTGAATAATATTAATTGATTATGAGAATCCTTTTAAATATATGTCAATTAAATCAATTTCAACACTATCAAAGTCAAACACCCAAAAATATGATGCCAGAAAAATATCAAAAAATGCAAAAATTATATAGTTGCGTAGAGCTCGACTCTCTGATTGCAACGGTGCAATCGAAATTCAATTTGGAAAAAATTGGACCAAAAAGTGTAATCCGATTGAGACCATTTTAATTCCAATCAGGAAGAGGCATCTAAAATCCACCAAAATCACACCATGCCGCACCACAGATCCGAGAATTGAAATTTGGGAAGATGACATTTATGGTATCTTCCTCATCCATTCTAGCCTATATAAGGAGACAATTTCTCTTTCAATTCACCAACAATCTTCTTCATTCTTCTTCTTATAGTTTCATTAGAGTATAGAGAATAGGCCGTTATAGTTTGCCGCAGTCGAAGCCGCTGAAGTGAGTTGTGGTTCAGAAGTTGCTATGGTTCAGAAGTTGTGGTTCCAATCAGAAGTTCTTCATTCTTTCCAGAAGTTGCTATGGAAAGTTAAAAAGAAGAAACAAACTCCTGTGCAAATTAATTTACTTGTGAGCGATTTTTAACCCTCTAAACTTTGTTATTTTAATTTGGTTTCTTCACGAAACTTTTAGCCTTATGTCTTACGGATTCGTAGCTTCAAACGGTTCGCAATTTTGTTGAGTAACGAAGTAGATATGACCGAATGGAATAGCTGTGATGAGAAGTGATGAATTTCATGGATTCCGAAGTTATTTCCACTCCCGTTCCTTCGCTGAGTTGCATCTCGCCGATTCTCAGGTTTGTACCATGATTTTAAACAACGTTAGAAGGCGTGGAATGATCCTTGAATATATTGTTTCATATATTTGAAAATATAAATATTTTTATACTCATAATCACGAAACTTATTTTTGTTGTTAAAGCTTCAAATAAGTTGTTTAAAAATGTTCTATAAATGTAAGAGAACATTTTTTTATAGTTAAAATAAATTTAGGCATATTCAAATGGTATTTTAGAAGCTTGAACCAGCAAAGAAGACAAAGTATTGTTCCACTGTCGCAAAATGGCCGACTGTCTCTCAAACAATTTTTGTTCCATCGCGTTATCAGGAATGGTCGACTGCGGATGGTAAGGGTCGATCGTCGTACGTCCAGTTGCACGATGGCGGTAACGGTCGACCGCCATATGAAATGGTCAACCATCACGAACTATTCCAACACAGGAAACTTCAAACTTTAAAGTTGTAAAATCCTATTTTGTTACTGTTCAACTATAAATCAGTATTAATATCATTTCCAAGTTAAAAAAATGATATTTTGATAAATTCAAGAATCCTATTTGATGCATGACGGTAAGCTAGGGTGTTAACACTCGATGCTAGGCCACCATTTGTTATTGAATATTATGATAATGATTGTTGTTTATTATTGATTGTGATAATTGAACCATGATTTAATAATAAATATTTTGGATTATTGTGATTATAGACTATTAAGGCTATCTAGAACAACTTTAAGATAGACCTATGTGACCAATTTAGTTAGGCCTTGTGGATTGATGTCCGGTGGTTCGAGTTAAAACGTACGCACAAGATCCATAAACCAAACATGAGTATCTATCCGTTTGGGGGTACCACCCAACATGACAGTGAGTAGTCCGCTGTTTGGTTTTTTACCTTAAACTAATTAAAGTTTGAGAGCTTGGTTATCAATATAAATTTGCCTTAAACTAGCCATAGTTTAAGAGTCTGATTATCAATATAAATTTGCCTTAAACTAATTATGGTTTAAGAGTCACATTATTAAAGTAAATTAGCATTGGACTAAAAACAGTTTAAGAGCACTGTTATGATTTAACCTTAGACTAAGAATATTTTAAGAGCTCTGTTATTAATATGGATTAGCCTTAGGCTAAGAATAGTTTAAGAGCACTGTTATTAATAAAATGATATGGAGTTGGCCTTAGCTTAGAGTAGGTTAGGAGTAACTTATTATGATAAACATTGACATAATTATGCGTGGCAAATGATAAATACGGTGATAACTATAATTTTATTAATGACACATGAATGTTGTAAGTTGTGCGTTGGCTTCTGTACAAATTTGAATAATGGATATTTCTGAATTGACTATATTCATTACCAAGATAACAAAGATGGTTTTAAAAATGAAAAAGTGAATGTCTAAACAAAAAATATATGATTGATATTGCGAAAGGAATTATTCTGTGAATTCTTCTGTTGTGTCATGGTACCACTCAGCTTCATTGCTGAGCTTGTAGATTTTTTTCATCTTTTTACACGTAGGTATAAGAGAGAATAAATGTGGAGCCTCTTTTAGAGGATATTGAGATGGAGGTGATGCGTGAACGTGCACAAATCTACTATTTGAGTTAAGAATTTTATCACATGTTAAATTATGGGTTGACCACACTATTGTAATTTGCAAATCGCTTCCGCACTATTTTAAATAATTATACTCCGATGTTTTTCTTTAATATTTGCACAGTTGTTTTAAATAAATTTTTAAATGTTTTAAATTGTGATGTTACCAAATTAATACTTTACTCTGAAAGGGGCTACAGACCTGGAAGGATTGGAGTGTTACACACCGTATAAGAGTTGTTTGGGATAAGTGGAAGCTCGCCTCAGGGGTCCTCTGCAACAAGAAGATTTTGGCTAGAATGAATGAGAAGTTCTATTAGTCGGTAGTTAGGCCGGCTATGCCTTACGGTGCAGAGTGTTGGACTGTGAAAAAAGTCTACGATCGTCAACTGCATGCAATAGAGATGCGTGTGCTATGGTGGATATGTGGGCATAAAGAATTAGATAAGATTCGAAACGAGGTTATTAGAGGATATGTGCGAGTGGCTCCTGTGGAGGAGAAGTTGAGGGAAATCAGGGCGAGGTGGTTTAGGTATGTGAAGAAACATAGTGTTGAGGCTGCAGCGCGAAGGTGTGAGAGGATTATGCTATTGGGCGTGGGTGGAGGAAGAGGTAGGCCTAAAAAAAGTTGGTCAGAGGTGATAAGATAGGATCTGGGTTGTTTAGTCCTAAATAAGAATATGATTCTGGATAAGAGAGTGTAGAGATATAGAACGAGAGTAGTTTCCTTGCTTTTAGTTTCCCAAATGAGGATATGATCTTAGTTTAAGATAGTTAGCCTTCTGCTCTTAATGTCGTGTACTTTCCTTGCTTTGTGACTTTATTTTTTCCCCTTGTTTTTGTTTCTTGTGTTTTGTGGTTCCATTCTTAGCTTACTCTTTCCTTTGTGCTTTATGTTTTATCTGAGTGGGGGGGGGGGGGNTCTACTTTTAAGTAGGGGCAAGGTTTGCGTAACCCACCCTCTCGAGACCTTACTTTCGTATGATTACACTGGGTTGTTGTTATTGTTGAACATAATAATATAAATGATATAATTTACGTTTATCATAATATAAATAAAGATGACAACATAAATAAAGGTTGATCTTGGGTTTTCTTTTAGCATAAATGGTACTCCCTCCGTCCTAAAACTTTCTTCCCGTTGCGCAAAATGCAGAAAAATTCCAAGTTTTTTCAATCTATTTTATTTAAATATTGGTATAGAAATAAAAAATAAAACATACATATTTAAAAACTACATCAAAAGTTCAACAAAATAAGTGGTGACAAAAATATTTTATTTTATCATATAGGCCATGAAAAAACACAAATAAATATAAATTCCCGTGAAGTTGGAATAGTGCTTTGGAAAGAAAATTTTAAGACGGAGGGAGTAACAAAATTTGCCGTATTCATAGTATAAATTACATGTAAATAAATAACATATTTAATAAAATACTTATTTAATAGTTTTTTTAAAGTTATTTTGACTTAAATCTATATTTAAAAAAGTTATGCGCGATGGACGTAATTTACACCCTTGTCCAATAACGGGATGAGATGAAAAATAGAAGAAATTGACGAGACGTTGAGTGAGATGTCGTGATAGATTCACACATACCAACCTAAGCACGTTGACTAAAAATTCTTAAATGTGTATAAAAATAAAAAGAAGTATGCTAAGTGTACAATAATAGTAGTAGTAATAATAACAATAGTAACAATGATAATATTATTAATATCGGTGGGGTTTCCATGACATTGGAATCCCATGTCATGAGATGACCCAGGAACTCTCTGGTGTCCCATTCGTAAAAATGACCGTTTCGACTCCCTAATCCCCCCAGTTAACCCCCCACCCTGCTCCGACCCGTACACACCTCTCACCCACCCCATAAGTTGATTTTGACTCTACTGTCAAAATTTGACTCCAAAGTCAAAATAAACTTGTGGGGTGCAATTGAAGGGGGTGGGGGTGTGTACGGGTCAAGGCAGGGTGAGAGGTTTACCAGGGGGTAAGAGCAATCAATTTTACGAACAGGACACTGGAGTGCTCCCCGGTCATACCGTGACATTGCCTGACAATGTCATGAGAAAAGTCTCCTATTACTCCGTAATATTCATGCTAATAATAATTATAACAATAGTAATAATAATAATAATAATAATAATAATAGTAATAACGGTGGGGTTCTAGTGACACCGGAGTACGGTGACACTAGCGGTGCCACTGTCATTTTTGGGCATTTCTGATGCTCCATTCATAAAATTGACGGTTCCTACCCCCTTAACCCACCACCTCCTAAACCCCCACCCAACCTCTGCCCCGCGAGGTTGAGGTGGCGGTGCACGGGCGAGGGGTTTAGGGGGTGGTGGGTTAGAGGGGTATTAAGCGTCAATTTTACGAACGAAACACTAAAAATGCCTAAAAATAACATTGGAACCGTTAATATCATCTTACTAGAACCCTACCGTAATAATTTGTTTAGATCTGGGTTTAATTGGACCTCATCCGATTTAATATGATTTGACCTTGTTTGATTATACTCAAGCAGTCAAGCTTGTGCCCGTGACCAAGTCCGAGTTCCTTGTTCTCTCCCCGTTTAACGAACACGATGGTCCGCTGTTTTGCCTGTTTATAATCTATATCAGCCATGGCGACGAGGCCGCATTCCAGGTCGCTGATTCTCAGGGCCGCACCTTTCTTGGCCTCCCGGATCCGCCGAAATGCCACGCTTCTCCGTTCTAGACCATCTTCATCCTCTGCGATGCCGGAACAGCAGCCTGAACTCAAATCTCAGAACGATTCCGTTTTCATGACTGAGAATTGCGTCCGGGTATGAAAAAACTTTTCATTGCCCCTTTTTTTGCCGGAAAATTTCATTTTATTTTGTGTAATTGTTTCTTTTCCTTGTCGGTATTGTGTGTAACTGCTATTCATTCATTTTTATGCATTTTGATTATGCAATGGAATCAAGTATTCAGGCAGGTCTAATCGACATGCTTATAGGGTTTCCATATGAGGAACTGAGTTGGATAGTTTTTGACAATCTGAATTTAGGTTAGAGAATTTTGAAGGCTTATATGCCTATGATGTAGCATAGGAAATGGTTCAACCACTTAAGCTTAGTCGTGTTTGGATGAAGATCTGTGGAAGGGGAAATTTAGTTGGTTGAATTGGTTTAGTCAATACAACAAGATCAAGAACAACAACAACCCAATTGGGTCCCAAAAAAGTAGGGTCTGAGGAGGGTGTGTACGCAGTCCTTGCCCCTACTCGACAGTAGGGTGATTTAGTCAACACATTCAGCTCAAATGCCCTTAGTTTCACTTGCTCTTTCTGCTGATATCATGTTATGAATTTGGTTTTGTTCTGCTTCAAAGGCAATTTGCCCACCATAAAGAATAACATAGTTCTCAAAATTTGTTTTTTTATTCCTTTACTTCACATGATTTTGATAATACAAATACAACAACACCAGCACCACCACCACCAACAAACCGAATATAATCCCAACTCTGTTTGGGTCTAGAGGCGGGAGGTCAAGATGTATGCAACCTTATATTTCTAAAAGAGTCTGTTTGTGTTAGACCCGTGATGCATTGCTGCATTAATGATTCTGATAATGTAGTTCAAATTTATCAACTGTATACACATGATTTAGAGAATGAAGGAGTTGCAAGCCAGTGAGCCCGAGGAAAAGATGCTTCGCTTAAGCATTGAAGCTGGTGGCTGCTCTGGGTTTCAGTATGAATTCTCCCTAGATGGCAAGGCAAATGCAGATGATAGGTATCATTTTGACCTGCACTTCTGAGTTATACTTGTTTAGCAATTGCCCACCATTAACTGCTTCCCTTATTACTTCCATCTCTGTAGTGTTGTGTTTATGGAAGCTATTTTGGGCAATTTTAATGTTCTTTATGTTCTTTCACTTCATTCAGACTGTTGTCACGTATTCATTTTTTTCAAATACTGACTTTTCTTCTGTTTTCCGAATTTGAGTGTGTAGAATCTTTGAGAAGGACGGAGTTAAACTTGTGGTCGATAATATTTCGTTTGATTTTGTCAAAGGTGCAACAGTTGATTATGTAGAGGAGCTCATCCGTTCTGCCTTTCAGGTTTGTTACTTGAATTAAATGTCTATGCCTCTGACTGCATTGTTGAACCAAAATTTGGAAATCCTAAAATTTTTTCTGTCATCACAAATGTGTTCTGTTAAGCAGTAACTGAGCCTCTCATTGATGTGCAGGTATCTACAAACCCAAGTGCTGTAGGTGGATGTAGCTGTAAAAGCTCTTTTATGGTGAAATAGTAAATGGATACTCTCTCAATAAGGTGCATCTGCCTTTTATAAACGTGCATTGAGTCCACATACTCGAAAATGTGTGTGTATGTGTCTATACACACACACACACACACACACACACACACACACACACACACACAAATATATATATATATATGTGTGTGTGTGTGTGTGTGTGTGTGTATATTTGTATGTATATGTGTGTGTGTGTGTGTATGTATGTATACTATATGTATGTATGTATACTCACTCCGTCCCATATCTTTCTTCTCATTTTGACTTTCGTGGTCAATTTTTAAACCTTGACCACAAATTACGGAAAAAATATATTAAATAGTGATATAATTTAATTATCAATAGAATCATTTTGAAACAAAGTTTTAAAAATCATATTTTTATAATGAGTAAATTCCATAAAAGGTCCCCAGTTATATGTCGTTTTACATATTTAGTCCCCACATATCAAATATTACTAATTTAGTCCCTAATTATAATATCATTTTTCACGAATGGTCCTTTGTTAACGTTTGTGTTACGAGCATGGATAAAATTGTATGTTCATACTTCTCTCTCTCCTCGATTAAGCTTCCTCCCTCCTCTCAGACTCTTTCTCACCCTCGTCGCTGAGTTTGAAGCTCTAGACCCAAAACTGAAATGATCATTCCTCTCTCAATTATTAGTCTTCCTGGTGGAACCTAAAATCAAAACCAATAAGCTTTATGGATGAGTTTTATCTGTTAGTCTCAAAAAATTCCAAAGAAAAATAAACATTAAAACTCATCCATGAAGGTTACTATTTTTGAATTTGGGTTCCACTAGTTAGACAAACAATTGAGAGAAGAGTGATGATTTGGTTTTGGGTTCAAAGCTTCAAACTCAGCGACGGGTTTGGAAAAAGAGTGCGAGGGGAGGGAGTAAGCTTAATTGAGGAGAGAAAGGAGTGTGAATTTACAATTTTATCCACGTTCTTAACGGAAATGTTAACAAGGGACCATTTGTGGAAATGAATATAATAATTGGGGACTAAATTAGTAATATTTGATATGTAGGGACTAAATATGTAAAACGACCTATAACTAGGGACCTTTTATGGAATTTACTCTTTTATAATCTATATTTATATAAATATTATATATTAATGGTCAAATTGTCGCATTGAAGCCCATGAAAAGTTAAATAAGAAGAAAGATACGGGACGGGAGTAGTACACACACACACACCCTCTGTTCTAGGAAAAAGTTTCCTAATTAAATTTAAGATATTTGACTAAAACTATTTTCGGTTGAATTGATTTGAAAATGGGTGTATATTTATAAAGTACTCCCGTAAAATTTATATACAGGGTATTCAGATGTACTCCCTCCATCCCAAAATTTTTGTCACATTTACTATTTGGGTCTCTCGATAACTTTTGTTTGTTTGCATGTTTTTATTGATCATTTGTTAAAATAAAATATTAGTGTCACCTCTTGTTTTATAGAGTAGAACTTTTGATGTTGTCTTTAAATATGTAATTTGTATTTTTTATATCAATTTGTAAACAAACTAGGTTTAAAAGAGACGTGATTTTGCACGTTGTTCCAAATGAAACCATAATTTTGGGACGGAGGGAGTATATCAAAAGTTCTACCACACAATTTGTGGCATGACTATTTTATTGGCCAAATGGTGAAAATATATAACAAAAAAAACAAACTCTTATCGAGTGATTATAATGTCTGACTGTCTTTCCTGAGACGGAATGAGTATCTTTGTTATCACCTTCAACTTGCTCTCCTCACACCTTACACTGGAATGGACATTGTGGCAGGTGCGTACCGAACGAAACGGATTCGGGTGAATGAATATTGTTCGTCAATGGTTTTGGAACCCCAATGTGTATATTATTCAAATCAATAGACAGATGTTAATGTGTCAAAACTCAGAATTGATAGCCACAGCTTTTCTTTGTAACTGCCTTGCTTGTCTGTTTGGTAATAAGTTTATGTTTACTTTGGTCTCCCTACCAAACATAAACACCAAGGCTAGCTGTAGACATATGATTTTTTTATATATAGAGACCCAAGTTTGCCAGGTAAATTACATGTTTAAAATGCCTGTTGAAATGAGGCAATATATAGGATGTATTTGTACTACTTTTCTTCAGGATTTACAGCTCAAAGAAGATATATCATTACTTGGCCGGCCCCTTTGTCCCATATTTTTTTTGTTGTTGTATGAAGTTGACAAGTTTTTTTTTAATGAAGTAGAAATTGTGCCTTGTTGAGATTTATGTGGAGAAGAGATGAGATGGTATTAATCACACAATCCTTTCTTCAATGGGGAAGTAGAAGAAAATGTTGGGACTCCCAACTTCTTTTTCCTTCTTTTTTTTAAGTTTTAGTTTAATTTTTTTTTAAAATTTTTTAGTTTATGTTTCTACTTTTGTTCTTCAATATTTAATTTTAAAAAAAGGATAAACCCCATCACACCCGGCCAGACGATCACTTATAAGAGGTAAGTTGGACTTTTATCGCAGATAGGTGGCAGGGGGTGGAGCATGCACGTGGTACTTGTAGAGATTTTATATTAAGCATAATTGTCTCCCAGTGCAGTTGTCAAGAATCGAATTTGGGTCTACCATCTTGGCACTTCTTACCTTTGCTAATTCTGCAACGCCCAGTAGCTTCAATATTTGATTTCAAGTTAAATAAAAAAAATTTAACAAAATATTTTAAAATTAGATGAAATAGAGAAAGCAAAGTAATGCTGAATTGAAAGTGAGAATGATGGGGGCTGGCTTGTGAAGAATCCCGGGAATGGGGCATCCTAACGATGATTTCCTCTTAGAAATTAGAATACGAGATCTGTTGCCAATGCTTTCCCATAAGGAAAATTATTAAATTTGGAAATTTATCTATGTAATTTCTTGTGTTGATAAATTCTATAGCACATAAAAAATTGAGGGGCTTACATCATTTTTTAATACTAATAACTCGACTGTAATATAGTATTTGTTCATACATTCTTAATACATTAAGTGTGTAGATTTATTGTCCCTGCCACGGATTGAACTTGTAAAATCCCACATTAGAGAGTCACTATCATGTCGTTGGATCACAAACAAGGTCTTTGTTGAGGGGTTTGCATCATTATTACTCCTTTCGTCTGGAAATTTTTTTCCAATTCGCTTTACGAGATTTGATTCAAATTATTTTCAATGCAATTTGTTTATTCATTATTGTATAATTCAAAAATATAATATATAATTTAAAAAATTATGTAAAACAAGATGTGACATGATTATACTTTGGGGTATTATATTATGAAATGAGTAATGAAAATATTTAAACAGAGTTAATAAAGTTTGACTATGTGAATAATGAATTAAAAAACATTTCCGGACAGAGGTAATGTTAATTAATGCAAATATTAGGCCCAGGCCACCGAAGTCCAAGCAATTGGATTAAGGTGAAGCCAAAGTGAATGGGTCGGATCAAACCCGATCCAAAAGTGAAATTTAAAGTGAGGAGAAAGTGAGTCTTGAGATATTTTGAAATGATAGTCGTTCCATGTTACTATAAATAAACTCTCCGAACAAGGAAAAGTAATCAAATTCTTGATAGAGCAAGAGTCTCTATAGCTTCATCTCTCCAAGTAATACTCCCTCCGTGACACTCAGACTTAATGAAGTTTAAAGAACTTGTTAGAAAGTAAAAATATGTGAGGTTAAATTTGTTCAGAAGAGAAAAAATAATTGGTAGTCACATATTTATTACCAACATAGTAAAGAATAAATTAAGTGTTAGAAACTTTGTAAGACGTTTAAAAAATAAAAGTATAAAGAATTTTATGTGACAGAGGAAGTACATCATAAATTACTCCAAGTTCGTGAAAATGTTTTTTAGTGTATTAAATCGATCGAATTGGGGTTTAGCACCTTTAATATGGTACATTCGCTCACTCCCTAAAGAAATATACAAGTACATTGAAGATTTGAAAGAAATGGCGAAGGATTGTTTTGAACTACCATTCTAAGTACCACTAGCTAGATATGATTTGAAGTACTGCTAGTATTAGCTAGACGACCGTGCATAGCATGAAATCCTTGAAGTATCATAGACAAATCAAGTCTTTTTTATTTATCAATAAATTTAAATTTACTTTTTTCGAGGTTATTGTCTGAACCAATCTGAGGAGACCTAAGGTGCGAACCCGAGTGGGATTTATTCCTCAGAGCAATGCTAAAGGTACACCAAATGGTGTGCCCCAAATGTACACCACTATCTTCTCCACCACCAATTTTTATTTATTTTTTTTTTGAATTTCTTGCCAATTTATGTGGACAAGGAGGGGGTGGGGGATATTTGGGTTACACCAAAATGGTGTACCCCTAGCATTTTTCTAATCCTCATTTTTTGAGTAGTAGCTAGACGACTTTGAAATATTGTGAGCAATACACAAGCAAGTAATTGCCCTATGGTACCCAAAAACACCCTTATTACTCCACATGAGACTAGCTTCCATTGACAGTTTTAACACAACCCTTGAAAAGCTTTATGTTGCTGCATTCAGATTGTACTGGTAGGTTTATCTGTCTTTTTTTTTTTTTTTGCCTATTTTCGACTTCTGCTTTGGCTTAATAAAATCTTCTTATTTCCCCATTGAGAAAATTATAGGTTCCTTTGATGATCTTCCATGCACTCTCTCATGGTAACATTTTATGTGTTGATTGTTTTGACAGCCATACAAGGTCAGAAATTTCATCAATAGAACTATAGAATATAAGTAAATCCCGGATGGGGGAGGTGAAGGGCAATCTTGGAAATTCACATAATTCTCTCAAATTCAATTATGGTATGTTTGGGAACATAAATTTGGATTTCAAATTTGGATTTGGCTCAAATTCCATGTGTGGGAAACTTAAAATTTTTGAATTTGGATTTAAGTCAAATTCTTCTCATTCATAACAAAGCTTAATTTGAAATCCATGCACCTTGCCTTGTCATTTGAAATTCAAAATTTCAAAATTTGGAATTGAAATGCATGAATTAAAATGAAATGCTAGTTGCCAAACACTACCTTAAAAGTTAAAACACATTATGTACTCTCATCAAGGCTCTCTCTTCTAGCCTTTATTGTATGCTGAGAAAATTGAATGTATGGCCAAATAAACTATTGGACTGCCTGTTCCAGTTAGTACAATGAATGCATACAAATAAGTTGTTGATGTTGGTATGAACTGGAGAGCTAAGTATGACATCTGGTGCACATGACTCGTGTGGTTAAGCCTTGAACTTGCGTGCTATCAATTGTCTGTCTTTTGGCTGTCGCTGAAAGCCACGTCGAAAATTTGGCTATAATCATCGACAAAATGAACTTCGAGGCCCTCCTTCACATTTGATGCAAGTTCATCAAAATCTCTTCGGTTGGCTTCTGGGAATATGATGGTCTTCACGCCACTTCGCCTTGCTGCTATTGTCTTCTCCTTCACCTATTATTCACCAAAAAATAAAACATTCAGAAACGTAATGAAGACGGTGCATTGCAAAATACAAATATTGGATGGTGTGGTTCGGTGCCTGTTAGGTGGAACTTAATGCACGCGTACCAGCCTTATCATCTAGATTTTGTTACCAAACACTAACTTACTTAAGTGTGCAGGCACATTAGATATTGAAAACACAGGGTAAGTACTTTTTAGCTGCAGTTATGGTCTTCTACTCTTATTTTTAGTCATTATTTTCTTTGACGTATTAAAAAAATACTATATGTTTCCCCTAAAACTTGGCGTTTATCTATTTCAGACAAATTTGTCCTTTTCAAGAGGGACTATGCAGTATACGCATTATCCCATTCCAAAAAAAGCCAGTGTTTCTAAAATTAAAAATGGCACTGCAAAGATTTCGCAAGACAATGGAGTAGATAACATACCCCGCCAATGGGAAGGATCTTTCCCATGAGAGTGACTTCCCCGGTCATGGCTAGATCCTTTTTGACATGTGTATTCATGGCAAGAGACAACAAGGACGTGATCATGGTGCAACCAGCACTTGGACCATCCTTTGGGGTAGCTCCTGCAGGAACATGAAGATGAAGTTTGCTATTGGAAAAGAAAGGGTTTTCGGGATCCTTTTCATGCAATATGGACCGGGCAACTGTGTGTGCAATTTGTGCACTTTCTTTCATCACGTCTCCAAGTTGTCCTGTCAGATTGAGCGCCCCTTTCCCATCTCCTTTCTCCACCAGAGTAGTCTCTATATACAATGTTGACCCACCCATTGCAGTCCAAGCAAGACCCATTACAACTCCAATTGGGGTATATTCATAGATGCGCTCCGCATGAAACACTGGCTTGCCAACATAATCCGCTAGGTTTGATGAGTCCACAACCACCTTTTGTATTGTTGGAGCGTCTTCATGTCTGTTTATTTTCTCCGTTTCATCGGCACCTCCATTTATTTTCTCTGTTTCATCGGCACCTCCATGTATTTTCTCTGTTTCATCAGCACCTCTGTTTATTTTCTCCATTTCATCAGCACTCTGCAAAGGTCAAAAACACATTGAGCATTAACACAAAGACTACCTGCATCCCAAAATCAAAGCCACGTGTTGCCAAAGTACATTTTTTTTCAAATTAGTAAGGTGAAATCACTGGAAATCATCCTCTAGTATATTTGTAATGTCAGTGTCGGTTTCACTACAGTTAACATGCTTAGGGCCTGTCTGAGTGTCTGGTGAGCTAAGCAATGTTGAAATGGAATGTGTTCTGAAATATGAAACAGAAGTATTTGTAGAAAACTCAAAGGGCATGTTTGGTGAGCAAAACAATGTTGAAATGGAATGTGTCCTGACATCTGAAACGAAAGTGTTTGAAAGACAATTCAGATGGAATCACGTCTCAGTTTCTGCTGTTTGATGAGCAGAAATATGGCAAAAAAAGTTGCTAACTAAAGAATTAAGAAATAACCCCTATCCGTTCTTGGACTTTGGGTGCGCCATTCAGGAGTCCCTTTTCTGGTGCATAGGCAGCCGTATGCCTGTATTCCAGCACAAGAGACCCACCAGCAGCGCACCCACAGCCGTGACCCAAGTCAAGAGAAAAGAGCGTGATTGAAGATGGAGAAGTAAAGGGAGAAAAATGGAGAGATACCTGTCCTTGGGTGCGCCGTTTGGAAGGAGATGAAGAAGACATGGAGACGCTGGATCGAGGAGAAGAAAGAAAGACACGATCGAGGAGAGAAAGAGAAGACATGATCCACGAGACGAAATTCTGAAATGGGCCGCTTATCAATATTTGAACCCCGTGGAATAAGAAAGATATCATGACAATGCTACTGGGAGTGTTTTCATATCTCCACATTTGAAAGTTGAACGTTCACCAAACACCAATTTTGGGAACTTGATATCAAAGATATCAAAACCAATATACTGGTATGGCTCACCAAACATGCCCTCTCTTATTTGGGCCCACTCTTTTTGATAAAAATACATTAAATATAATAAAACTAAGATTTCTTTGTTCAAATAGGACCACTTTTGCCACAGTGAGACTCTTCTGTGATTGACTAGCAAATGCACTACTCACCAAGACAAAAAGTAAATAAGGATTAAATACCTTTGACTTAACTCCATCTGTGAGCTTGTCAGTTTGGTCAGTTTGCCCTTCCAATCGTACAGCTTCCAAAATATTTGAGGCGTTTTTATCTCCGTCAATGTCTGGCTCAGCTACAATTTGGGCCACATCTTCACCAGAGCTTACAGAATTTGCGCAGACCGATTCCTCCTTCACCTCACCTTGTATATTGGGCTCAGCGCTTGCAGCATGTTGACTTTCAGTGTGTGCTCTTTGGCGAACAAGCTGCAGAGCAATCTGCAAGAATGGGAGAGTCCACAAGTAGTAACAAAGTCGCAAACATGAAATGTCAGAAGGTTTTTGTAAAATTAGTTCACCGCAAACTAAAATCTAATTCGTACTTTAATAGCCGAGGTGAGAGAAATAGAAGTTAAACCTTGCGATAGATCTTTTCAATTTGTTTCTGGAGGTTACGGACACCTGCTTCTCGGCAGTAATTTTCAATTAAAGCAAGAAGAGCTGCATTGGTCACCTCAACCTGGACCAGAAAAACAATCGGAAAGCTTACTGCATCAGACATATTCACATATACGCACAATATTGAAGTATATGTGCATGCAGCAATTACGATTCGAATGCATAAGTTATCTAATAAGACGTATTTGTAGCATTATATAACATAGAACAGTTGATAAGATTTAATTACAATTACAGCTGCTCTCTCTCTCCATATTTACAAAAAGCTGAAATAAATTCACATTTTGTATACTATTGAAAGGGCAGATAAAAACAGAGTGAATAATGAACAAGGATTACACCCTGAGCTTCATTTCTTTGACTCTTCTTGCTGTACTGTAGGAGGGATTAAGTCTATAAAATTTGCAAATACATTCAGGTTATTTATTTCCTCTTACTTTTGTTGAATAAATATACCGTCCATTCACCCCAGCTTCAAAAGCACATTTTCTAGTTGATGGATGCATTGGAAAATAATTCTGATGTGTTGGTTTGTATGCCAACAAGTATGAGGTGGGCAAATCCGAGATGTCAGAACGGTTGCATGTGTTAAGAAACATGGAAAATATGCATGTGGAACTTTTCATCTGCTTTTTTGAGCTATTAGTACGTACTTTACCACTAGTTCCATTAGTATTGTATCAGTCACATAAAACTACAACATCTTACATGTATCTATATTTCTATTGAGTTCAAGAAAAGGTATCCGCATGTATCCAGATTCTTGGGCAAATCATCACTGGCAAGAGTCCAACTAGTCATTAACAAGATATTCATATTGAAGAACAAAGACCCAAGTGTGCAATGCATATATCTATCACACAGAATCTAATAGAACACCTGGTTTTCACAACCTTTTGAGCTAGTAAAGCATCTAGTTACTGGATATAATCAATAGTAACTCTGAAGCCTCAAGAATAAAAGAAATTATCAAATAAAACTAAATGAAATTTCAGGTGCATAGTATGATATTTCTTTACCTAATCTGAAATATAGAGGAGAATTTTTGGGTACAATACTGTGATGCAAAAGTTCCACTTAACGGGTTTAGGAGCCTCAATGTGGTAAAAAAATTACAGTAAAACACATCGGAATCCTGGCATGGAAGTCTGGAGTCCCAATGTAGCCAACACGAGCATATCATTATTGAAATTACTAGTGTATTAAATTGAGATATGGAAATCATCAATTGCAATTATTATTAAAAAACAGGTCCAATTCGCGGGTTGCGGCAACCAGAGGCAAAGTTTGATTGACCGTTAGAATGCCTAAGCTGATATGAGGCAAGGTGAAAAGATCAAGCTTAGAAACATACTGTTGTCTGTCAACATACACATCCCTGGAGAAAAGAAGAGTTATACTTATTTCATCGCCTCATGGGAACAAACTGCCTTGATACCCCAACTGGTCTTTTTAAACTTTGGGCAGATTAAGATACTTTCATAGTATTATGGTTGATCATTCTAAAACAAGTATCTCAATATGCTAAAGTATGCACTCAACGTCTTTCAAGAAACTAAGTTAATGAATCCACATCAGTGTAAAAACCGTAAAGTGATTTTGTTTTGGGGATGGAGTGTATTTTAATATTTCACATTAGTTGTGCTATACTGCTAAATATATGAAAGGAGTAGACTACGAGATGCTACCTTGGAAAACAGACAACAATGTCTATGGTCTGAGTTTGAACGTTCAGGATATATATATATATATATATATATATATATATATATATATATATATATATCTGTGTGTGTGTGTGTGTATAGAGAGAGAGAGGGTGCGGTTCAAGTGAGAATAGTCCTTACTGTGAGAAATGAGAATGGTGCATTTTTATGCCGTCACAATGAATTTTTACATTGTGGTAGTGCATTTTCGACACCGGGAGTGAAGTTCAACTTATTTACCATAATGCCACCACATTTTTTCAGATCTTTTCAGTTTTTTTAAATTTTTCAAGCCCTCAGATCTTATATCTAATGCAGGAGATGTATTTTTATTTCTTTCATTAGATTGCATTCTCACTGGATCCAATACCTATACACACACACGCGCGTGCACGCGCACACACACACAGATATATATATGGAGAGAGAGGAGAGTACCTGTTCAGACTTAATGCCACATGCTTCACGAGTGGTCTTCTCCAAATAATCCCTAGCAATATGCATCTTCTCGTCCGTTATATAACCAGCAATGGCAATCACCTCCATCCTGTCTAAAAGAGGATTTGGTATCTTCTCAATCACATTTGCCGTGCAGACAAACAAAACCTGCAATAATGAATAGAGAATGATATTAATCTCCAACATCTTGTAAAGGTAAGCCAAGTAGGTGTGTTATGAGAGAAAAAAGAACAAAGCCAAGTAAAAATTCAAGTGAATACCAGACCCAGAACTTCTAAAAGAAAAGCATGGGTAAAATTGAGTAAGCACACAAGCCCCTTATAAAATGTCTTTAAAGTGTTATAAGCATCAGAATGAAATTACTATTAATTGAACATGCAACAACGCAACACCCAATTAGGGTCTGTTCATTTGGGTTGGAAAAGTTAACTTCCAACTTTTTCCAACTCCTTCCAGTTTCTTCCAAGTCCTCCAAATCTCTTTCAATCTTTCCAGTTTCATCCAACTCTTTCTAGTTTCTTCCAATTTCTTCCAACACCGACTAAGAAAAGTATTCACATATGATAGGTATACAATAACATCATATATCCAAATTTATAACATACCACCTCAAACGCGGACAAAGATGCATTCTTTGTTATCCAAAATTAGTTTTCTTACATATTTGTTTAGGTGATTATTTCACTGAGTGATTTTTTTAACACTTAATTTTTTCCAACATTTTCCAACTCCTTCAAGTTTTTTCTAACTCGTTCCAGTTTCTTCCAACTCCTTCCACTTTCTTCCAACTTCCAGATTTTTTCAACATTCAACTATGTTTTTACAATCCAAACGAACAAAGCCTTACTCATTAAAAATAGATATATATAATAAAAGCATATCATGGAAGGTAAAACCAATAGCAACCTATGAATTAGCCATTGATTCATACTTCTCCCAATTAAAAGAGATGACCATTAGTTGTGCAGTGCAAAAGAATAGTGTTTAGGAGAACAATATACTTTTTCCACTAAAGCCTGATAACTGGGAAAAAAAATTCCCATTTATTTCTATTACAATTCAATATGTCAGTTTTCCAACCACGAACAAACCTTCAACTCATGTCTTCCCTTAATTCCCTTCTATAATATCTCTTGATGCAACTAAGACTCAGCCATTATTTCAAAGGTTTGCTAAAACAAGTAAAAATACAACCCAGCAGAACCCCACAAGTGGGGTATGGGGAGGGTGGTGTAGGCAGACCTTATCTATAAAAGGTAGAGAGATTGTGAGTCAAATGAAAAGGTTTGATAAACTAAAAAAGAGTGTCATCACAAGTATTGGAGCATAATCCTTCATAGCAAGAAAATAGCCTAAAAATGTTGAAGCCATAAAGAAAGGGGGCAAATGAAGATGTACAGCTACCAGCAAAAAGATTGGAGTATTTTGCAATAAGCATATACTTGAACGCATTAAATCATATTGCAAAGCTGAACTAGTTTGTCAAAAGAAATAGAAAACAATGAATCTTGATTTGAGTGTTAAAATGCATAAATTTAGAAAAAGAAAAGACTTTGTTAAAAAGGGATAAGAGCAGATTTCATACTTCATGTTATAGAGTTACGCCGTATTCAAAATCTGGCAAAGAATCCCCTCTACCTACCCCATACTATGCGCAAAATCCATCTCTGTTTCTTTTTCGATATACTGATTTACGGAGTATTACTTAACGTCAAATTTTACCAAAATGCTTCATGTCAACTGCTCTCTTTTTCAGATAGGTATGCCGAACGAAGCCCATAAAATATTGTAATTCTAATAGAAACTGAGGTTGAAAATAAAATTAAAAAAAACCTTTGATAAATCAATTGGGACATCAAGATAGTGATCCAGAAAATTGGCATTCTGCTCAGGGTCTAAAAGCTCCAGCATTGCACTTGCCGGATCACCTGCATGTCCCCTGCCCAACTGCCACAAAAAGTTAATTATAAATAAATCAGTCAATTATGAATTTACAGTCCAATTAGCAAGCAAGCAAAAAACACTTTAAAAGAACTTCTATCATAAAAAATACACTCGAGCTGACACTCGAGCTGAAGCAAGCAGGAAAAAAGATTGTGGATGAGCCGTGATAGAATTTAGAATGGGTATAGACAACTGGATTGGGTAATAAGACATTTGGGTTGAACCACATTAAAAGATTGAATCCAATCGATTAGTTAGTTCAACTCAAGAGCTTATATACCGATTATTTTTCTCTTGAACTTCCGATGTGGGATGACACTCTAACACTCCCCCTCAAGTGGACAACCGGGCCATTTTGATTCTAACCGGCTGACCACTTGCAAATAAACTCTCATTCCCTTTTTTTTGAGCGCCAACACCTAAAGGACCACGAGCCGCTGGGTATGGATTTCCAGACGAGCAATCGTGTTAAACGGGCCACAGGCCGTTGGTTACATACTCCATACGGACAACTGGGCTAAAGACTAACGGGCCGCTAGGAATGAACGTCTAGACGGTCAAGACGGACACCTTGACAAACGAGGTGGGCTAAAACTTGCTCTGATACCATGATAGAATTTAGAATGGGTATGAACAACTGGATTGGGTAATAAGACATTTGGGTTGAACCACATTAAAAGATTGAATCCAATCAATTAGTTAGTTCAACTCAAGAGCTTATATACCGATTATTTTACTCTTGAACTTCCGATGTGGGATGACACTCTAACAAGCCCAATATTGTTACGAAGTATTTGGGGTGAAATTTTTCATGGTAGATTAGTCAATGCAACTTTCAACGCATCTGGAATTAGCCTGCTCAATGCTTTGAACATAGGGGTCAAACTGCGTACATCGACCCCNGGCACTAGGGTAATGTTGTTGTTTTTGTTTGTAGATAAGCCAAAATCAAAATGCAAATAAATCCCATATTTAGAGGATAAAAATCAATATTCATAATAAATTAATAATCAATAAACAGCCAGCAAATACCTTATCAATCTCATCTATCAGAACTAAAGGATTAGCTGTTCCTACATTTTTCAAACATTGTACCATCTTCCCTGGCATGGCACCAATGTAAGTACGTCGATGTCCCTTCAAGTGAACTTCAATGTCAGTAACAGAAGTTAATATAGGTAAAGGGTACATTTTGCGCATCATTCTGTATAATTTTTTCATACCTTTATTTCAGCAACATCAGACAGGCCTCCAACAGAAAACCGGTAGAACTTACGATTCAAAGCACGTGCAATTGAACGACCAATACTAGTTTTCCCAACTCCAGGAGGGCCAGATAGGCAAATAATTTTTCCTTTAAAAAGAGCAAAGTTATTGGGTTTTTTAAAAAAAACATCAGTTTAAAACATTTAGAAAACCATAGTGGCATCAACCCTAAACAGATTGAGAGTGCAAAAGAAAGAAATAGAGCTTTGTGGGCTTGAGAGGAGCTTTGCTTTTGTTTACAACTTAAGGTATAAGATTATAACAAAATAATAGAATGCATGAGTTCAACCACGTTGTTCTGTTAAGTGTTGACTCACAGGTTTTCATACTTGACAAACACAAAATGTTCGAGAACACGGATAAGTTGATCAATTGACAAACTTAATGACAAAGACAAGATGGTCAATGTCAAAAATGGATAAATTCAATAAAAGAACAGAACTGAAGAAAACCAAGAACTCTATTGAAGATCTAGATGTCTCTCACATCCGACCTTTTATTTTTATGAAATATTTGTAAGAATAATGAATATATTTTCTACTCCTGAAACTATTAGTCAGTTGAAAAATGATTTTTGAGAAATATGTGTCAACTTTTATTTAAAAGATTCTTTTCATATTCAAAAATATTTTTGATACACAAAAATATTTTTTTCAAAATATTCTTTTTGACACAACATATATTTCTAAATCAGCCTTAATATCTTAAAATACTCATTTTATTCAAAATTTGAAAGCCTTTGGGTGTGGTTCATCCCCTATTTGCAAACCAATACTTCCACCCAGCATCCTAGGCTCCTTACTTTGTTTTTAGGCTTTTGTCGACTGCTAACTGCTTAGCAGCCCTCTATAATCGAATAGCATGTTGCGAGTTACGTCTGCCAATGCTAATTGATTAGCACTCTTTGCAACTACATCAACAAGTGCATTTTGCAGCAGCAACTTCTTTCACTCCAACGGATATATCATCTTTTGAGCCTATACATATTCATTCTTCTCACCCTTTTCCAACAAGAATTTACTCCCATTTGAGAGCCATATATACCCCCATTCTCCAGTGTTCAAACTACTTATTGAGCTTTTTTTATAATTGTTTTCTTGAGTGAATATCCACCATCGTTCAACTTGAGTTTTCATTGTAACTCATTCTTACTCTTTTAGAGAGTTTGTTGAATGTTTAAGAAGATCGCTTTTCTTGCTGTGAAGTCTTAGGGTCCGTTTGGTATACGGAATTGATGGAATTGGAATTGAGATTCCATAGGATTCAATTTCATAGAATTGAATTCTGCCAATTCCAATTCATTTTTTGCACTATCAATTCCAAATCCACATAATTTTTGTGCTACCAAACACCAGAATTGGAATTGAAGTCCTCAATTCCAATTCCATAGTTTGAATTCCATGTACCAAACGGGGCCTTAGAGTGAGGTATCTACAAGCGGTGTGAAGTCTTGAAGTGGGGTATCTTTGAATGGTTATAATGATTTATCAAGCACCCGTTAAGCTTGATAGATAGTGGAAACTTGAGTGAGTCGCTCAAGGACTGGAATAGCCACGAGTTCTTGATGGGTTATTTGCCTTCTCTTTACTTATTTATTTCCACTGCACACTAGATCATTTTTATTTACTCACACACTACAAAAATCGGAAAACCATTCTCATTTCTCTATCCCTCCCCCCAAAATCTCTCCCTCCCTCTAGAGTTGAGCACCGTGTCTAATATAAAATACTCCCTCCATCTAGGAATTAACTATCCAAGTTGACCGGGAACAATCATTTAGGAGAGTAAAAAATAATATTGACTTTCCATGTATACCCTTACTGTTCATTTTATTTGCTATGGTTCTGGATCTAAATCACATAGGTTCCAAATTCCATCTCCTTAACAAAGCAGCCTCACAAAAGCCCCGAACTGATTTTGTTGCCTGAGAGTGCACCGCAATGACATAGCAGGGAGATTGTCTGAATTGATTTAGTTACTCAAGACTCCAGCTTCTTTCAGCACTAGAAGCTCTGGAATGTGCTGCCTGCAACTGCTACCGCTAGGAGCGCGGGGGGAAGGATGTTGGTGTCATCAAGCACCACCAACATCACTGGATCGGGTCGTAGTCTGCACCAGCTCCAACATCCCTAATCACACTACTGCCAGTTAGAACGGCGGCTTATGGGAGGAGGGCGGCGAAGGACTTATCCATCGAAGAGATGAGATGAACTAGAGCTCTGGAAGAAACTCTAGCCAAGATGGAAAGAGAAAATAGAGTACAACGAGAAGCTAGGGCATTAAGGGGATGGGGGGTGGGAAGTAATGATATTTCAACTTAAATAACATGCCAAATAAGGGATGGGAAGTTAATTTTTGGACAGTTCAAAAAAGAAATGGGGAAGTTAATTTCTGGACGGAGAGAATACCATTTTTGTTTTGGGGTAAAATTAACATCAAATTTTACTTACTAAAATTGGGAACTGAGTTTAACGGACTAAAACCCCCAAGTAATATAGAGAGATAAGTAGATAACATAAAGTCAAGGTAGAATGCTTTGAATTAAAGAAGAAAACCATTACCAAACTACATTGGTTCAGTGGAGTAAAATGTCTAATACATTCAATAGTCAAAAAAGTTAACAGTTCAAATTCAAGCAGAAAAGCATAGAGGCAAAGTTTTAAGCTAGATGCCCCTTCCAACACAACCTACCAAAGAGAACATAATGAGTTGAAAAACAGCAATGACCCTTCCCGTAAGCTTTTCACACTTGTGTAGAATTGCTATGAGTTTAGACAGTTGTGAGTCATGCCACATGCAATTTGCAAAATATCAAGCATGATAATTCCAGCATTAAAGTTTTTTTAAAAAAATGGCTGTTTAATAGCTATCATCATGGAGGAATATGATAAACCAAGTTGCCTACCTTGTGAGGTTCCTCTAAGATTCCCCACGGCAATAAATTCCAATATCCTTTCTTTAACATCATCTAGTCCAAAGTGGTCCTCATCAAGTATCTCATGTGCACGCAACACATTAAAGTTTTCATTGCTGCATTCAGATCAGACAAAATAAATATGCAGATTTTTGCAGCATGAATAACAGTTTGCAAATACCCCCCCCCCCCATCTAAACAATTTCCAATCACATAGTTTTTACTTTTCAACACTTTTATTAAACTAGCAATCGAATAACTAGTTAAAATATGCAACATGTTGAGAATGGTTAATTTTCACAGTCCAGGTTGAGAGGACCTATTATGTGTTATACTAATGTTGTAGCCCAATTTGGCTCAACTACCAAGCATCTTTAATCCCCCCCACCCCCACCACATTTCTTCCATGACGTTGTATTAGTATTCTTTCCTTTCTTCAAGCACAAATATATACTATCAGTTTTTCATTAAAAGCGGTATAGGGGGTATGTAAGGATTTCTCTGTTCTAAATTTGACAAAGCTTAAAGAAGGCTTTTGAAAAGGTGAATAGGGAGAAAGGAGGTATCAACCTTGAAGTCTTAAGTGAAGACATAGGTCATGTAGCTTTCAGTCTTTACAAGTATTAGATTTATATCTACTAATCTACCTCTACTAAGGAATCAATTCAAATAAAAGCTCAAGCTTGTGGTTTAAGGCCCTGAAAATGTTTTATAATCTGACGCAACACTCATGTGCAGGGGAGATTTTTTCTTTTCCTTGTGCCTTGCATGTGAACATTAATTTTTTTAAGTCCAGGGGGTCATGAGATTTGAACCTGTTGATCGCTATGTGAAGGATGTGATATATACCATGTTAAGACTCAACTCAAACAAAAGCTCAAGCTTGTAATTGAAGATTCAAAAAAGAGTTTATATTGTGGCAACTTCTATGTCTCTTATTTTATTAACACTCCAAAGAGATCTTGAAACTTGATATAGAAAAGTCAAACCATAAATAAATGATACAAATGGCAAACCTGTATGTTCCCCAGGGCAACGCAGTCAACCAATCTAAGTAGTTTCGTGTCACACTAAATTCACTCGAACTTGCTTCAAGCAATTGCATCTTTGTCAATTCCTCTTCAATCACTTGCATAACATGTGATGGGATTTTCTCTTTATTGGGCTCTAACCTTTCTCTAAATTTTGCTGCAGAGATAAAGGTTATCGAATCATATATGTGCTAGTGAGCAGTTGAAATCAACTGTGCAACATAAAATTGTAAGACAATACAGGTGATCAAATTATTTCTTAGGGCCGTTTGACAGAGCTGAATGAAAAGATATCAAAATTCAAGTAGATTTTTTAAAATTAAATATCAAAATTAACTTTAGACAAATAATCAAAAGATAACCCAAAATTCAATGTCAAATATTAGATTTAATGCCCTTCAGAATTATGTCACTCTCTCTTGTTGATATCCAAGATGTGGAAGAGTTAGGAAGACAATGGGTCCCCATCATACAAAATATGCACAAGTGTTTGTTCCAAGTCCACTTTGTACATCGAAGATGAAAAAGAATAATGCACAATCTACACTTCCAACGAGCAGAAAATCTGAGTAAAAGAACCTCTTTCTCCAAAATTGAAAATGGCTCGTACGATGAACCAAAAAAGAAAGAATGCATATAGCCCTAAATGTATACGAGCAACTGCCACTGAGGTATAGTTCCAACATCAGTCTATGGCCACAACATCAGTCTATAACCCTATATGCATTACAACCAAGTCGTCGTTTGCAAATGACAGTTCCCTACAACGGCTACAAGTACTAATCACGCATATGCAGCAGGATTACAAGACTACAAACCAGACAGAGCTGTCTTGTCATCAGTCTCCAGTCCGAGTTCCTGCATTAGGTAGGCAATAAATGATACCCAAAGTGAATTGCAAGGCTTCTAACTAACACTTGAATGTAACATAAACAATTCATGACATAAATCATTTACCTTCTTTATGGCCTTCAGTTGCTCAGTGAGCAAGTAGCGCCGCTGCTCCCCACTTATTTTTTCTTCAATAGCCTTTGCAATTGTTTCCTTTATGTAAAAAATAAATTAATAGATAAAATTAAATGAAAACAGTCTTACAGATATTTGATATTGTTCATTGGTACCAAAGCAATACCTGGATCCTGCTGATCTCCATTTCTTTCTTCACTAATTCCAAAGTAAGCTTTAGACGGTTATGCACCTAAAGTAGGAAAAATAGAAGCAGATAAAAAACACCAACATACAGGTTAACCATAAACAGAGATTCGATCAGTAAATATAATACGGAGTATTTCTTATTTTTCTATAAAAAATAGCACTCTCTAATTTAGGCTTTTTCTTAAGTTTTTGTGTCTAACTTTCAGTACCAACTCAATGTTTTCAATAGCCAATAATCTTCACTTTTGAATGGCATTTGTAGCAATATAAATGAACAACCAAATTCACAGGCCACTCACCACAAATTGTGGGTTTTTTTGCTGGGGTCATAATTGACATATATAGGCCATTGCGGTTAAGCACATTTTGTTTAGCATTACGATACTTTCAGTATCTTGATTCAAAATAGCATTTGACTAGTAAAAATCATAGATGATCTGTTCGAGCAAATAAGCATTTTGAATAAACAATATTTTGAGCAAAATGCTAATTTAAAAATGTTGATAGGATCAACATTATGTATTAGCATTTTAGCTTTATCATATAACATTATACTAAATTACCAAACATCTTTATACAAACTGTGAGCTACTTAACTGTTGTCGTATCTTCAAATACAAACTGTTTTAAGCTATCTGTTATCTGCTACTACGTATATGTTAGAGTGGGGTTAATCGTGCAACAGTTTTTTATACAACAATCCGCACAACAATCCAATTGGGGCACCTACGGTACTCAATTTGCAAAACTGAGGGTTCCTCCCCCCCCCCCCCAAATCACCCCTTGGTTGTGGGGGGGGCATCAGGGTTTTGGGGAATAGAACCGTCAATTTTGTGACTGGAGCACCGTAGGTGCTCCAAATGAACTGTTGTAGGAATTTTCATTGTATTCAATGTTTGCCAAGCACTCTCATAGAGATACGAGAAGAAATCTATCATGTATTTGCCAAATTCCCTACAAGAAGCAGACAGTTGTGATTGTTCATCTCTTCATTGTGCAACCTTTTAACCTTAAAGAAACAACTAACAAGATACCGCAGAAACTTACATCAAGCTCTTCAAGAACTTGTTGACAATGCTGCTTGTTAGCACCAGATATTGCTGCTCCAAAATCTGCTAACCGTGCATAATTAAAATCTCCTATATGCTGCAGTTTAAAGAATCAGATTATAGATTATAAATATTTGTATACATATAAACACACATGCACAAAAAGATACATTCATGTAATAAGATATCCAGTTAAAATCTGAAAAAGAAAAGTGTGATAGGGGAAGTATTATGGAGAACTTAAAAGAGAGTGTTGCTTGATACCATCAATAAAACTATGCAAATCTCCAAAGATATGTCAACATGCATGATTAATAGAATCATATACATGGCAATCGCAAAATCGTGAACGGTGTTTTACTTGAGAAGCAACTTTTATTTAAAGATCGTTACTCTAAGGAAACACATATTTGCAACATGAAACTTCTCAATTCTCATAGCTCTTCAGAATATAAAAGAGAGTGGCCCAAAAAAAGAACCCATACTGCAGTGTAAGTTTGAACATGATCTTTCCATAATGAACTTGACTTCAAAACATCCCTCAGGGTTGATATAACTTCAAAAGATGTTGCTTTTATCACATCGTCATCTTTATTATATGGCTTCTCCTGAAACACAATTAAAATTAAAAGAATTGTGAGTAACCTTAAAAGAAGAATTTGAGGTAGTTAATAATATCAATGATAAACAAGAACCCAAAGTTTGTCACATGCCTTGAGATGACTGATTCTTACAGTAAGTGGTTCTTCACTAACCTGCACATATAATGCAACTAATTCAATCCAAGAAGCTTAAAGAAAGAGCTAGGAGGCCATTTCTAAAAGCTAGTCCCTGGAGAAATTAAGCCATTTCTGGGTGGGGGTGGGGAGAGAGAGAGAGAGAGAAAGGAGGGAGAGAGAGCAAGCCTGCTATATATTAGTCTTCATAAAGTGTCACAATCACTCACCATTTCTGTTATTTGAATTCGCCTATGGCCAATAAGAACAACCTGATCTTCTTGTATACTTGTAATCTAGGTCACAAAAAATCATTTATCAGTTACTGAAGGTTCTTTACTACTAATTAACCAAAGAGAAACATAAGAGGTCATAGGTTTACCTGTGCAAGGGTACCAACTTCGTGTAGACGGTCAAACAAATTTTTTCCTTTCAGTTCAGAAATATTGCTACTAGCATCTGACACAATACTTGGGTCAGTCCCTGGTTCATCTTTAATAAGGAAAGCACCAGCATAAGGTGCTTGCCTTTTTCGACTTTCTGCTAGTGCCTCTAAGACTTTTGGGTCCTGCTTAAGATAGAATTGTGAATAGTAAATCCTTACATATGAATGGGTAAAAATTTCATGGCACATCCTCTAATGATGATATCACTAAGTTATTATTAGTGGGTTTACCTATCACTAACTTCATATTTTTCTTAAATATTTTGACGTGAGACTCAATCAATCATCAATGTATCGACTCAATCAATGTATCATAAATCTTGCAGGAATAGTACCTCCGTTTCTTACAGGGTTACAGCGGTCAGTTTGTCTACATCTTGACAACCACGCCCCAACAAAAATGGGACAATAGTTGGTTTGTCGTTGTACCCTGATATGATACGCTAACACTAAGTATGCATAAAAATTCTAATTATGACCTAATCACTAAGATGTGAACTACAGGCACGGCAACCATTTATGTCTCATGTTCCTCCTACAACTTTCTAAATTTCTCTCTGAACCATAAAAACTAGTGCACTATCCTCTAGCAAAGGGACTTTGGAAATATCACATTCTTAAACTAGAATAATACCTTCACAAAGACTGGCATGTAAAATCCAGGAAATAATGGTCTATGTTGCAATGGCAGCGCTATAACCTGAAGAAGGAATTTAGACATTGTTGTTATATAAAGTGAAATGATTGAAACTAATACAACAAAATTCATAGAATGCAAGTAATGGATTCCCATGATTTGCATGTTGATTTTACAACATCAATATTGTGATAAAACATTACAATAGAAAATATCTCCCCTGGTCACCAATTCATGATAATTTTCATTTCATGCATGTGGAAACAACAAATGATAATGACAGTTTTAGAATTTTAATCTCATCGTCTCATCTTATGACGGAGATGCGAGAGGCTTACCATAGTGGGAGAGTGGGGTAGGGATAAACCTAAGAGGAATTGGAAAGATGTGATTAAACAGGACTAAAGACTTCTAGACCTTATCAAGGATTGACCTTAGATAGAAACGTCTAGAGATCTAGGAGTGTAGTTGGGTAGCATTGGCCTTGGTGGTAGTTTTTGTGCGAGCGGTTTTTTGCTTTTGTCTTTGTGTGCTTTTTGTGTTTGGGGTTTTGTTGCTAGTGGCGGTGTGTGTGCTTATCGTCTTTGTGTTTGTGTTTGGTGTGTGTACTTTGTTCGTAATTTTGTCTCTACCTTGTTGGTTTATGTTGACTGTGCTTGAGCTGGGGTCTCTTGGCTTTCGAGTAGAGGTAAGGTCTGCGTACACACACCATCCACAGACCTTACTATTTGTAGGATTTTATTGGGTTTGTTGTTGTTGTCCCATTTTATGACGGTTGCAAAAAAAAGGCAATTGGCATCAAATTTCCACTAAGCTTTTTGTGTGAATCTATAAGGTTAATTAATATTATACAATTAGTTGGCACTAAAAATTTAATTCCACCAACCCCAACTGAATAGAACTATAGTGCTGAAAATGATGATGATGTTGCACATAGTGGGGAAAAGTATGGCATAGGATAGAAATCAACTTGGCCTCATGTAAATTTAAGTATGCTTCAAAGAGAGGCAATTGAAAATTTAGTCCAGTATACAAACTTTATACAGACTCCCTTTTAGCAACTACTTCCATAATCAAAATATACATGGTGATGGCATCACAAGTTGCATCTTACATTCTTATTATGGTAAAACCAATTTCAAATTACAATGACCCCTGCAACTTTGCCAGTTTGTATATTGAAGATTGACCTACAACTCTACAAGCCATTCTACAACTCAACCAACTTCATAGCATTTTCCAATGCATAACCCCCTAAAAAGTTGAAATTCCAAGCCCGTGACATCACAGTTGCAGTCCTATCAAGAAACTCAATATACTAGAAATTAATTTTGTACTATGTGATCCTAAGATGGAAACCCTCAGACATGACTTAGCACCTTAAACACCAATATCAAAATGAAAGAATGAGCTTATAAAATCATCAATAGAAAATTCAAAAAAAATCTCATATACCCTCATTTTCAGCTCTTCTGTTTCTTTGAGTGTGTGAGCTCATAGAATCAACACCATACGGAGTAATTATCAATTTTTTCTTTGAACATATTTCGATCAATATTGATTTCAGCACATGTACATAAAAAAATTTAAAAAAAATAAGCATGACACTCAAAATTGCCCCTCATAGAGCTAACCGTTAGGCAATCTTCGGGCCGAAACACAGTAGGAACCATGGCAGACGAATTCACGGACTCAGCAGCCCCTTCACCTTCAACCTCTGCCTGCTTGGCTTCTGACACGGCCTCCGTTTGTGGATCGAGCCCATTGCTGTTCTCCGAGCAGAAAAATCGTCTGTAGAAATGAGGCCCCTTCTGCGCGGGGACTCTGATTGATCTGACAACTCTGTGCATTGGCAAATTTGGTTCTGTGTGCGGCCGGACATGGCGGCTGAAGGCCGACGAAGCCGCGTGGAAACGGGAGATTGATGTGAGAGCCTTCAACATGAGTGGGGATGGAAGTAAAGGAGGCTAAAGTTGGGATCTTCTCCGAGTGAATCTGTGCCTTAGAATGGAGCAGAGCTCAGAAGAGTCATTGATTAGCTTCTTGGAGAAGAAGCCATCTTCAGGAACTTGACCGACCAAAGCCCTGCCTAAACCCTTCAATTCAAACAGATGTCGATCTCTCAGTTCGCATTTTCTTTTCTGTAAAAGAAATGGCCAATTGATTGCCACAAGTTCATAACTAGTCCGGGGTATTAGGGCTTTAGTAAATGTGTTTATATACAAATAGTCCTTCAAAACAAAATTCACGCTTCACTTTACGTAAGAAATTAGGGAGTGTTTGTTTTTTGGTGAGTTTAACCACTTAAAAGTGCAGACGCGGACAGACATTAGGGACGCGCAGACTGTTTATTTTTTAGAAGAAAAATTACTTAAAAACGTTTTCCAAACATATTCATCAAGCAGACATAAACCAACAGCTTCTCACGTCTTCCCATCAATTACGATCTATCTCAAAACCTACCCATCCCCCTCCCTTCCCGATCTCTCCGTCCGACCCTGTGCGCGACTCTCTACCGTCAGAGTCTCCACCACCGCCAGCGACTCCCTCTCCCTCCGCCGGCCCAGCCGTCCGCCGTCCGTCTCTCTTCTCCCAGCCGTCCGCCGTCCGTCTCCCTCCTCCCCAGCCATCCGTCTCCTCCTATTCTCATCTCTGCAGCAACAAGTAAGTTTTTTTTTCACTTTTTTGTTTTTTGATCTATTTTTTTTACAACTTTTTTTTACATTTTTTGGTATTAACAATTTGTACAATAGTCTATGTTTTTTTAACATTCTTGTTATTACGGAATAGAGAGATTGAGTAATCAAAGTAAACAGAATACAACAACAATTAGACCCCAATACATCGAGACCCCCTTTACTAATCTGCGTAGCGGCAACACAATATAGATTCAAGGCATATTAACAAATCTCATCCATGCCAGCAACAATTTGTACAATGTTTGTTTACATGTTTTTTATATCTTTTTTATACAATAGTCAACAATTTGTTGTTAATTGTTGTTAAAGATTGCTATAGTAGTTCATGTTGTTGATTATTGTTGTTGTAGTTCAGATTTGTTGTTAATTGTTGCTAATGGTTGTTGTAGTAGTTCATGTTGTTGCTCCTTGTTTGTTAATTAACAGAAATGGGAGAGAAACAACAATGGTCAAATGAACAAATAAAATGCTTGTTAGAGATTTGCATTGAAGAGGTAAACATGTTGGGTAGAAAAGGGTTGAGTTTGCACAAAGAGTTGTGGAATAAGTTATGAAGAGTTCTCAAGAAAAGGTTTGGGCTTGATTTGAGTCAAAAACAGATGAGGAATGCGTATGACAATCTGAAAGCCAAATACAGTGGATGAGTGTATTTGAAAACCAAAACTGGCAACATATACAATGCTCAAACAAATACTTTTACCTTAACAAACGAGGAATGTGAAGATTTTAAAAAGGTATGTTCCTATGAATATTTTTTTCACTTATAACTATAAACAAAACTTATAATTTTTTTACTATGGGTTTAGGGGCATCCAAAGGCTAGATCCTTGAAAACAGTTCCATTGCCTTTTCCAAAGCTTTGTGCAGAATTATTTGATGGTAATGCTGCCACTGGGATGCACAAGTGGACCTCAACCCAAAAAAACATCAATGGATGCATCATCTTCTTAACATCGTCCTAAACCACTTTTGATTATGGACACCGTTTTGCATGACACAGAAAATGATGTTGCCGACACTGGTCATCAGACCTTTGATCTTATGTACCAATAGCATAGTTTATGACGTGCAGTTGGCATCACAATTTTAAGCACATTTCTCATTGGTCTTGATCAGTAATAACTGCAATGATACTTTTCCATTCACAACCTCTAAAAGAGTCGTAAAGACTAACACAAAAAACTTCTCTGACTCATCTTGTAAAAGTGCACAACCAAAAAAGTGTGCTTTGCATATGTTGATAGACTCAAACAAATGGAATAAAAGGCATTCCATAATTTCACCAAACACTTATAGGCCATTCTTGGCGGATAGTCAATCCAAAAAATTGGGTCATTTCTCTGTTTGTGTAAAATCACCACATCTCATTCCTTTATATGCAATTTAAAACTATACTTTCCCCCAAAATACCAACCGGATTTACCAAATCCGTTTTGATGCATATTATTTAACCAAACGGATTAGGCTAATCCGTTCCACTTATTTAATTACCAAACAGATTAGCCTAATCCGTTCCTTTTTTTTTTTGTAATTTTCTTAAAAGTCGGTTTGTTGCTTTGTTCCAATTTTTTTCCCTTTTAAATTTTTTTAGTTATTTTATCTCCTCTTTTGTAAACCCTTTTAACAAATTAAATCCACTTTTATTAAGTTTTTTTTAATTTTTCTAACTTTATTGTATTAAAATATTGTATTTTAATTTTTTTTAAATTTTTTAAAAACTGAATTAAATTAATTTACTTTTGTTACTTTTAAATTACTTATAAGAAACCAAATTAATTACAAAATAAACGAGATACATACATAAAGAAGATGTAAATAATAGACTACAATAAAATTTTAAACAAAATACTATTTATTGACTTTAAGTTGTATATATATAACGATATTAAAAGAACAAGACAAAACACAATAATTTTATTGCTAGAGTACATATAACAATTTATTCTTAAAAAGTAGAAGCCAAAACACAATCCATGACTAACTTATTTGTAAAATTTAATAATACATAAACTCAGACATAGTTGAAATTCATGACAAAGCTATTCCTCGTTACGATGTCTCCGTGGGCGATAGTCCATGTTATTTGGATAGCGGGTTCTCGTACGTCGGCCGGTTCGTGTGGTCTGTCGTGGTGTTGGCCTCAGGATCTCGTACTTTGGAGTAGGCCATTGAGACTCATCCGGTAGCGGCATTATGATCCCAGAGTACGCATTGATGTAGGACTGAATTGAAAAAACATTTAGAATCAAATGATCCACGGTGACATTACAAAAATGACATACTGCGTGGACATGATTGCACGGGAGGTGAAATGTTACCCATTGACCACAGCTACATGTTCGTGCATTTAAGTTCACCGTAAATGTCTCCCGTTGAGCAATGTAGGACGACCCATCCACCACCACAGAGTATATCCCTTGTTGTGCGTGGTGCTGCACAACACGACAATACAACCTATTTTCTTCATTTTTCCTGATATGTTTCCACACATTCATAGGAAAATTGTACCCAGATTGCTGCCACACATACCCACTGGTTCGCCTCTCAGCGAAAAGTTTGACCAGCTTATCATATGTGAACATCACAATGGCATATACTGGCAAACAACGACATCCTTTAAGGACATGATTGAAACTTTCTGAGGAATTTGTAGTCATTACACCATAACGTGACCCACCTTCATCATGTGACAAAGCCCACTTGTGTTCTGGAATGACATTAAGCCAGTTGTAGGCTTCTTGATTTTTGGATGCTATTTGGAGTAGCAACTGGTCAAACTCACTTCTATTCGGGGCTTTACCAGCTTTGTACATCAAGCTCCGCAACTTTTTACTTCGGAACTTATTCCAGAAATTGCTGCGTAGGTGGCGGAGACAATATCTTCGAGTCACTCAACCTCCACCCAACTCTGGGACATTTACAAATGCATGCTCAATCCCATTGTGTCTATCAGATATTATGCATACACGACGATGTGGGGGGACGACATGACGCATGACATTCGTCAAGAACCATTTCCAACTTGGACCATCTTCAGCATCAGCAAGGGGAAAAATTTCACCATTTCCCGTCGTTGCCATGGCAAGTAATAAACATCCCTTATACTTGCCGTATAAGTGAGTTCCATCTACTGAAATAACAGGAAGACAATAGTGAAATCCATCTATGGATGCCCTAAAGGACCAGAATACATACTTGAACTGAAAAGAAGTTGGTGAATCAGTTGCCATTGTTTGTAAAATATAATATGTATGCATAACACTGTGATGTGTTTAGTACTTACCTCTCCCTCGAGCAACCTATCTAGCTAGTCCCTGTAAGCTCGTAAGGAGTGTGTCGTATAATCTGACCACCGATGATAACACACCCATCTACCAATGGAGGATTAAACATTAACAGGAATAAAATAAATTGAGTATATACATGATAGACATAAATAAATGGAAAATACCTGACTCCATATGGAACATTAACCAGCAGCTCTAATGGTACAATCCCCCTAGATCTAGTCATAGGCAGACATTCCCATGCCCAAAGCTGTAAGAGGATAAGACACCCTCCTATCTGAGATGTATGTGTCATGCTCGCACGACACATACTACGATACAAGAAACTAAGAACCGAAGCACCTATGGCACGACCTCGCACCAGCACGGAGTCACCCATGATTACCTCCAACAAATACAAACTAACCTTATTTCCCGTCGTGTTGGGAAATAAGCTACCACCCATCAACTTAAACATGATAGCTCTAGCATGCTGTTGGTAATCAACTTCTACACTGTGCTCTGTCAGCGTCTTCGGTTCAATTGCAGATATCTTAATCGTAGAAGATGTAATATCAGATGGTTCAGGTATCAAACCCATCATGTCATCACAAATCTGAATCCATTGATCTCTTGACCGACTAGTGCCCCCCGACATTGGAATGCCATCTACGGGCAATCCAAGTAAAACCTCAACATCTTGTAGCGTAATTCCCATCTCTCCAAAGGAAATATGGAATGAATGGGTCTCGGGTCTCCATCTCTCCACTAAAGAAGTGATCAGAGCCCAATCTAACTGTAATCCACCCACTTTCTCCACCTCATAAAATCCATAATCTTGTAAGATCTCTATAACACGAGGTGGTCTATTATCAACAAGAGTCCTCGGATATATATTAGAACAAGTCCTATGGCACTTTAGACTTTTTTTGGCATATTCTTCGTCCCCCCCAAACCGCATCACACCTATGTACTCCGCCTTCAAGAACTACAACGTCTCGTGAAATAGGTCCCGGATGAACATCCATTTACTTCAAAGATTACAACATAACAATTTATTTATTTAATAGCAACTCATTTGTTTCAAACATTACAACATAACAATTGATTAATTTAATAAAAGTACGCAACTAGGCAATTATAATAAAAAAAGTCATTAAATAACTCCAATTATTAAAAATTATCTTACAATATCAACATTTAAAAATTACCAAATTTTTATGAATATTTAAAGAATCAAATTCAAAATCTTACAAACTAATAACATATATCAATCAATTACAATAAGGTAATTCACCCAATATATATAATAAATCTAAATATTATTATAAAATGATAAATATTTATATATATTAAGTAAAAAATAAAAATACCTCCATGAAACGGAGTAGGCTAATCCGACTTGTCTTGTCCCTGTGGCGGTTCCCCTCTCTGGTCGGCCGGCGTTCTCTCTTGGCGGATCGGCGCTGGAATTTTGTGAAACGGATTTGGCTAATCCGTTTGGAAAAAAAAACCGGATGGAAACGGAGTAGCCAAATCCGTCTTTCACTGTAAGGAAAAAAATCTCTGACTTACACTGCCAGGAATCGATTTTTATTTGGTTACATATGTTGGTAAATTACTCCAAAAAATTCTCCAATCTACCACGTGTGTCTACCGTCATTTAATAGAAAAATCGAGGTTCTATCACTTAATTTTCTAGTAATACCTCAACACACCCAGTGCATTAGAGATGTAAACAAATCAATTATTCTAAATTCGATTCGTGATTTGTATTCGAATATGATGATTCGAATTCGTATTATTCAAATTCAAATTCAAATATTATTTTTGATTCGAATATTAAACAAATAAAAATACAAATAGAGATATATTCGATTCGAATGATATTCGAATATATGTATATACAAGACCATGTTTTCAACATTAATAGTCAAACAAACTAATATAGTATAAAGTGCATTTAAATTACTAAGAATTCGACATATTAACGTAACACAAAAATCTAAAGCATATGATTTTTCGTAGTTATATTTTATAAAATATAATTCGTTTAATTTAAGATGCAAATGTATTAATGTTTTTTGATACAGAGTATAGTATAGTATAAGTAGTATCATTAGTTAAATTACAAATTGATGCTGGTCCATCATATAAATTACAGAGTATGATTATTCAAATATTCGTTTAGGATTCGTAAACTATTCGAATATTAATCAAATACATATTCAAATCTTTTTTTGAATTCGTCTCATATTCGGATTCGTATTCGTATTCGAAAAAATTAAACAAATACAAATTCAAATATCTTGTTATTCGCTTCGGTTCGGTTCGCTTACACCTCTACTGTGCATCACCTTCTTCAATATTGACGAAATTGTTTTAGTGGTAGTAAATCTTCTAAAAAATAGTTAATTTATTCATGTGCCGTATTCACAAAGATTGGTACAAAAGGAAATTTTCTATTAAGTTAGACAAAGTGTAGTCATTGTTATCTAAAGTCTTTTAAAATGGAATTTGTTTGATTAATTTGGGTAGAGTAACAATTTGATTTGAATGATGATGAATAAAAAGGGAATATGACTTGATTTCAAGTAGTGAGAATTTTTCAGATAGTTTAACTAGTTGGACTATTAAATTAACTAATGAATTTGACTAGTGAAAAGTTCTGTCACAACTACACCATTAATTTAACCTATCTCTAGGTATTACAACTTCCAGAAGTTGAGGTGCGCACCTGCCTGGCGCCTGAGCCCAATCCGACTCATTTTTTGAATGTTTATCATTTTGTTCAACTTCTTTATGCTTCAATACCTCATTCAATCTCTTTTCAACTTGTAAACTTTGAGCCTGTCTGGGAATAGCTTTAGCTATTAGAGTTAGCGTTTTGAAAAGGCTATCTACGGGCAGCGTTTAGCGTTTTCAAAGTAATCTGCACCGTCAAAATTTTATCCAAAACGCTAACGCTAATATCTAACGCTATTTCCAAACAGGCCCTTTATTTGAACCCTTTTTCTTTCTGAGTTAAAACTCATGAATTGTAACACTAATTGATTGAGAAAATCAAGGAGTACATCACAATGCAGCACAAATTTAGGACAAATACCATAAAAATAGGAATGAGAATTGCAAGGTTAGTTTGAACTAAAATGAAATATGACGAAATAAATACCATTCATCGGTACTGTATTGATTGAAAAAAATTCCTGATTTTTTTATTTTCATATGGAAAGAAAAAATTTGTGAGGTCTACACATTTCATATTCGCTAAAAAAAATATATAATATTATAGAAGAAAAAATATTGTATGTAATTGGGAATTCAAATTTAAATCCAGTCCCTAGTTTCCCTTCCACAATTGATCCGATTTGATCTTCCATTGTTACATTTGGATATTGAACATCAATTGGGGCTTGAAATTCAGCTTAATGAATATGGAGGTGGTAAAACACGGATAAGTCAAAATTAGGAGAGCAATTAATTAAGAAAAAACAAAATTATGTTCGAAAAATAACAAGTTGGAGAGACATGACGAGATGATAATAGTATAATACAATCAAGCAAATTGGAATACAAAAAGATATTCACACAGGATTCGTGGATGAAATTCGAAATTTATGAAAAAAGAAAAAGAAAATCAGATCGGTGAAGAAGAGCAAATTCAAAGAAGGAGAGAGATGTTTGTATGTCCAAATTGATAACTTCTAAGTATTTTCTAAAAGAATGAAGTCCATAAGCTTAGGCCACCCGAAATGGCGCCCAAAGGCGCATGTTCTTTAGGACAGTGGCGGATCCAGAAAAATATGTGACTGGGGGCATCTTCGGATAATAACAAGACCAGATCTCGGGGTAACACCTTTGAAACTTTTTGAAAGACATTTTGAAATAATAAGAAATATAATCTGCATTCCTAATGCGCTTGTTAAGTTGATCTTTGGAAGTAAACCAGACAAAGTTTGATTATCCATTAAATAAAAATTACGTAGTACATTTCATATGGGTACAAAAAAAGAAAAAGACTAAAGTAGAAATAAAAAAATTGAAAATTATTTCAGTCTGATGGGAACTAGGAAAATTAGTACAGGAATTCGGAAAATTATTTCATTATTTTATGAATAAACATTTTAGTTTTTATTTAATTGATTATAAAATTTGTTCAATTTGACTCTAAAATGACAGCCTAAACAAATCTCATTGGAAAGGAGGGAGTTAGTATTGAAATTGTTAAATGAAATACTTTTAAAATAGAAAAGTTTAATTTGTAAAGTACTACTCCGTCCGGAAATATTCTTCAAATTTGAATTTTACGGTTTCTAGTAATTTACTTTAATCATTAATATTTATATTTATACATAGATATATTTTATAAAATTTTGATATTTCAAAACTATGTTTCAATAGAAATATATTAATATTAAATTTATATCATAATACAATATTTTTTTTAAAATATCGTAGTCAACATTTACAAATTATGACCATTAAAAGTTAAATGGAAAGATCATTTGTAAATCTTTTCCACATAACTTAATTCAATTATCATATTTTAACTATCTTACCTTCAATTTCAATTTTAATTTTTTTTGACCGGGGGCGTGAAACAAATTTCATAGGGGGCAAACATTTTTTTGTGGGGGCATTCTTCTAATTTAGTAAAAAAAAGAAAAAATGTTTAATACTATATACATTACAAACGAAAGTTCACTGGGGGCAATTGCCCCCCATTAGGTGAATGTGCATCCGCCAATGCTTTAGGACTGTAAAAAAAAAGAGCTGGATGTTGGAAGAAACTGGAAAAAACTGGAAGAAACTGGAAGAACTGGAAGAACTGGAAGGAACTGGAAAAACTGGAAAAACTAAAAAAACTTTAAAAATATTTATTTTAAATTCTTGTTGTTATAAATTATTATTATTATTATTATCATCATCATCATAGTCATCATCATCACGTTATCTTAGTAAATGTCTTTAAGATATAAAAAAGTATTGTTATTTTTTAAATACAAAAAACTACTTTTACAAAAAATAATTATAATATAAAGTTAGCATAAATATAAAAATATTAAATTTTAAAAAGGATGTGTAGTTATATTGCACCTCAAGTTATTTATGCAGTATTTATTATAAATAATATATTTGTAATTATAATTTATATATTAAAACATTTTGTTTTATATATCATACATGTCACATAATCAAATCTATTGTTTCTTTCATGATTGACATTTTATTTTCATTTAATTCCTATTTTTGGAATAAAGACATAGAACTTTTTTGTTTACATTTTTTTATGTTTTACTCATATTTTAGTCTTTTTCTATAAGCTCTTTTGACTTACAATTTTTTTTTATACAAATTAGAAAAATGAGCAATTTTTAAATAATAAGGGGAAAACTGAGATGTCTTATAAAAAGTTATATTAATAAAACATTCAATGTAACTATTTTATCCACAATTTTTTAGTATACTTTAACATATTAATGTTTTCTTGTTTTATCATATAGACTAATATACAAAAAAATGTCTTATTCATATTAAAAAGTTGAATAAAAAAATAATAAGTGTGAATCGTAAAAATAGTGAGATTTAAAAATTAATTTATAAACTATAGTTATGAATATAATAGTTGTAATAATAATAATAATAATAATAACCACATTGAAATATATCATTTTTAGAGTAATTGATTGAGGAGTAAAAGAATCTGAAGAAAATGAGAAAAGTTGGAAGAAACTGGAAGGAACTGGAAGAAATGGAAGGAACTGGAAGAACTGGAAGAAACTAGAAGAAACGGGAAGAAACTGGAAAAAACTGGTAGAAACTGGAAGAAACTGGATGTTAAGAGTTCAAGCCCTAAAGAACAGGATTTAAGTGTGTTTTAAGGCACTGTGGGTGTTAAGTGTGTTTTAACGCACGGTGGGCGTTAAACACTACTCCCTTTATCGTCATCGTTGGGCGTTAATTTTAAAAAATAATTATTTTCAATATTATGCAATTGGAGCCGGGGGTCTCTTGGAAACCGCCTCCCTACTTCTGAGTAGGGGAAAGGTCTGCGTACACACACCCTCCCCTGATCCTACTGTAATCGGTTTCAATTGAGTTGTTGTTGTTGTATTTTCAGTATTATAAAATACACTTATTTTTAACACAACAAGCACACACCAATTATTCTCATTATCTCCATAATTCTTCTAAAATATATCCAGAGTATTATATTTCTTTTAATTATTTCTATAAAATATTCGAATCTTATTATATTACTCCGTATTATATTACTCATTTTATTCAAATCTTATTATATTACTCCGTATTATATTAATGTAATTTTTTTATTTGTAGGGATATAGAATTGTCTCCATTCCCTGATTCCCTTCTCTTCCGAGCAGAAATACCTGAATTAGCTGCACAGTGCCCGGCGTCGTTTTCTCCTCTGCTCTCCCCCCCTCACTCCCCATGTCTTTTAGCTGCAGCACACTGCGTCGCCTCCCATCTCAAACACACATCTTCTCCGCTTCTCTTACCCAAACCGCTCCTTTCACCTCCACGAATGACGCCCCCGTTCTTCATCCAAACCCGGAAACCAACCCGACTCCGGCAATCTGTTTGCTCACGGACCATATTCTGAGATCCACCGTCTCAGACCTAATCGCGAAGCAGCACTGGTCCAAACTCAGAGTCATAGTCAATCCAGCCGACCCAATCGCCTTCTTCTTGCAGCTATTCCAATCCGGGTTTGATTCGGACGCCATTATCGCGTTCTTCAAATGGTCCCAGAGTGCGTATAACGTTTCTTATTCTCTCCAGCATCTGTGCAGATTGTTGGTTCTGGCTGCGAACGAAAAGAGATACCCAAAGGTTAGATCTTTGCTGCACTCGTTTGTTAAAGATGGCAAAATCCTTTCGGTTTCGGTGTTTTTTCATGTCTTGTTGGCGTGTAGTGATGACCACCATGTTAGCTCTCTTATTGTTGATATGCTGTTACTGGCTCTTGTTAGTGCTTTGAAACTTGATTTTGCAATAGAGGCGTTTAAGCGGGCGGGTGATTATGGGTTTAAGCTCTCTGTTCATTCGTGTAATCTGCTTTTGGCTCTGTTGGTAAAGGAGAGGAAAACTGAGGTAATTGAGTTCATGTACAAGGAAATGATTAGGAGGAGGATTGTGCTTAACTTGTTCACATTTAATGAGATTATAAACGGGTTGTGTAAGGCGGGGAAGTTGAATAAGGCTAAGGATGTTGTGGAAGACATGAGGATTAGGGGAGTGATGCCGAATGTGGTGACTTATAATACTTTAATTGATGGGTATTGTAAGAGGGGAGAAGCGGCGAAAATGTACAAAGCAGATGAAGTGTTAAAGGAAATGGTGGAAAAGGGGATTAAACCAAGTGAGATAACATATAACACTCTTATTGATGGATTCTGTAAGGATAATAATGTTAAGGAAGCTTTAAAGATTTTTCGTGAGATGGGGCAGCACGGGACAAGGGCAAACATTGTGACATTTAACTCATTGATTAACGGGCTTTGTGGGGATGGACGGATTAGCGATGCTCAAGATTTACAGGCAGAAATGGCGAGGCTGGGGCTGGAGCCAAATATTGTCACTTACAATGCCCTTATAAATGGGTTTTCTAAAACGAAGATGTTGGTGAAGGCTAGGGAGTTGCTTGATCAAATAATGGAGCAGGGATTAGATGTCAATGTCTTAACTTTTAACCCTATGATTGACGCATATTGTAAGGCTGAGAGAATGGAAGAAGCAATGTCACTTCTTGACTTGATGTTGAGCAAAATGATTCAACCTAACGTTTCCACGTACAATTGCTTAATCGGGGGCTTTTATAGGGATGGGAATGCCGAAACAGCTAAAAATATGCTGGATGAGATGGAACAGAAGGGAATGAAACCTGATCTTGTAACCTACAACATAAGGATCGATGCAATGTGCAAGAGGGGTGAATCAAGAAAGGCTCTAGGCCTGCTGGATGAGATCTTTGAGCAGGGCTTAGTTCCAAGCCACATAACATACAACACATTGATGGCCGGTTATTGCGATCAAGGAAATCCAAAGGCAGCTGTTACCATTAGGAGAAGAATGGAGAGAGAAGGAAAGAAGCCTAATGTCGCAACATTCAATGTACTGATGAGGGGGTTTTGCTCAAAAGGTAAGTTGGAAGAAGCAAATTTGCTTTTAAATGAGATGCTAGAGAAGGGGTTGGCACCTAATCGAACAACCTATGATATAATCAACACAGCAATGATTGAGAATGGGTTTGTTCCTGATATAGATTTACGTCTCTACAACGAGTGAGATTAGAGCTATTGTTTCATAATTGTTTCTAACCTTTCTCTTTCCTGCCCGAAGCGCTGAATTTCCTTGTGGGATATTTCACTAAAGTAGAGTAGAACGATGGTTTAGCCCTGGCATCTTGTCTCAATCTACTATGAATTAGCCTAATGTTAGTATGTTACCATAGTTCCACCTGTAATAATTATTTGGGGGCTTTTATCTCGACGACGATGCTGGAACAGCTAAAAAAAGATGGAACACCCAACCCCCTCCAACCCCAGGGGGTTGGTGGAGGAGGTAAAGCGTGGGACGTGTCTCAACTGGCCAGGGACAAGATTTTTGTCATGGCTAAACTCACCATACAAGGGCCTGAATCCAAAGAGTCGCCTCGAAGATTAGGACATCCACCCTATAGGTCGCCAACAAGGCTCACATGATACCCTTGCATGTGCCACAGGGTGCTGAAACAGCTAAAAAGATGCTGGATGGGATGGTGCACAAGGGAATGAAGGTTGATCTTGTAGCCTACAATATACAGATCAGTCTGTTACGGACTGAAACCATTTGCAAGGTATGAAACTTGTCCCATGTCGGGAGGGGTATATAGACCAAATGGACTCTCTCTCTCTCGCTCGCTTGCTCTCACCTAACATGCTAGTCTTTTAGGACCTTGTTTGGTTTGTAACCCAGTGTAATGTTCATGAGGGGTGAATCACATAATGCTTGTTTTATAAATGTTGTTTTTAATAATGTTAGTAAAACATAACATTATTATTTAGTTAAAGGTCAAAGATCGATATTGGTTGACTGTAAAAAGTTAAAACAAGACGAGCATTATGGGAGGGAGGGAGTATTCATTTGAAAAAGAGTCACAATGTAGTTGTGCTCGGGTTGACATATGAGTAACATAGGAGCACATTCAAATATGATAAATGTCAAAAGAATCAAATGTGATTTTTTTAAATAGCAATTGATGAAGATTTAATTCATTGTTCTCAAGAGTAGAGATTTGGAGTTCCATGAAAATGATGAAAATTTTAACTTTTGTATGCTCCATAACATCTATCAAAACTATTTCGAAATTATTCCATATCTCTAAGCTTTTTTTACATTGTAAAAAAAGATATGCAATCTTTAATTTGTAATACTCCATAAAAGGATACCTCATCATTAAAATTAGGAAAAATTACCCAAAATAATCCCAACTTTACTCGGTTTTTCAAAAATAATCTAACCTTTCACAGTGATGCATAATAATCCCAACTTTACTGAAATTTGCCAGTTTTGGGTCACCGTTAAGTTTCTAACGGAGGGATAAGGGAAATGCCCGTTTTAGGCAACAAAATGAAAGTTGAGATTATTTTTGATGAATTTTTGTTTTTTAATTTTTTTTTGAAATTTTTATTTAAATTTTTTGAATTACTTTCAACCTCCATTTCTTTTTCTTTTTTAAAGATTATTCTTACCTTAGGAAAAAATAGATATAAAAAATAATGAAAATGAGAAAAATAACTAAAACCATACAAAATTAACCAAATAAATAATGTAATCAATAGAAATTAAACAGAAACTGGTAAGAAATAAAATAAATATTACATTATTTATTTTAAAAAGAAAAAGAAAAAGAAAATGGAGGTTGAAAGTAATTCAAAAAATTTAAATAAAAATTTCAAAAAAAATTAAAAAACAAAAATTCATCAAAAATAATTCCAACTTTCATTTTGTTGCCTAAAACAGGCATTTCTGTTATCCCTCCGTTAGAAACTTAACGGCGACCCAAAACTGACAAATTTCAGTAAAGTTGGGATTATTAAGCATCACAGTGAAAGGTGGGATTATTTTTGAAAGACCGAGTAAAGTAGAGATTATTTTGGATAATTTTTCCTTAAAATTAAAAATTGTGACAAAAGGTATTTTTAACAAAATTTGAAGATTGGGGTCATTGAGTACATATATGACATCCTAGTTGACTTCCTAGTACACATCTGGTTTCCAAATAATATCTTATGGAGTAGGCAAATTCTTCTGTAGATCTAAAGTCCATATTTATTTTATAGACCTTAGTGTATTTGTAGTATAAAATAAGTGAGTCTTTTGTAAAATAGAAAAAATATCTAAATGAAATCCATAAAAAATGTGAGAAGGTCCACATTTTAAATGTGAACCTTGGGACTATGTAAGCATCACTTTATGAAGTAACTTCTAGCTTACCGTACACTAGATTTATATTAAGTAAATACTGCTAATAAATTAATTTTATTTTTTAAATGGACACAATTTTAATAGAATCTAATAATCTTAAGGAAATTTAATTTATTTAATCTTTTATTAAACTCTGAAGATTTAAAATTACAATATGAACTATAAAAAATTGCTACTTTTTGTTTAAAATATATTAGACTCGTACTTGTGCGTTGCACGGAAAGAATATATTTTTATAGATTAAAAGTAAAAATTTAGTAAAATTTCTTGTATATATAATAAATGTTGAGTTATTATCCTCACAAATTTTTATATCAGCATGTAATATTGAGATAAAGGTTTCCACTCTTTTTATCTATATCTGTTATACCATTCAGTTTTTTTACCTTTCAAAGCCAATATTTGCGTAGTAAACAACTGATTGCACCATTTGTAATTTTATTTATTTATTAGGAAGTAGTTGCATAGTAAACAATTGATTCTTATTCCCTCATATAAAGTTCCCAATCAAGGTTTATATGCTGTTATTTTAGTAGGGAGTAGTAAACTCACATTTATATCTTGGATTATGCTATGTGTACCCAAGGTTTGTACCCCAATTTGTACCCCGCAGTTTTGCACCAACATTTTGTGTTGGTGTAAAACTAATTTTTATTAAACGCACCAACATTTGTGTCTGTGTGAATATTTATTAACGCACCAACACTTGTGTCGGTGTAAACCATCGAAATGTTTGTGCAAGCCTGTGGTGTACAAATGGGGTATATTTTTTTGGTGTAAGTGTAGCATGGTCCTTATATCTTGTGTCATAGTGATGAAGAACATCATTTGATTTTGAAGGCTACTATTTCAACTGTTTTGTGCTTAAAATTTAAAGTATTACCAATTATGACATACAATAACTTGATTATCCTTCTCAAAAAAATCTGGTCATGAGATGGACATCTACATTACTCACTCAAAATCAATATGTGTTCTATGTTAGTGTTCAGACATGTGAATAAAGTCCAATTGAAATACACGTTACATAGTATTTGGATGAATAACCTTGGCCATCGAGTCACATAGAACCTTCATAGTACCTCTGAGTAACTGAACACATTCTCAATCCGACAAAGTTATGGGTGCATGTTCACTACCATCCATGATACGTAGTTATCTTATACTTATGCAAGAATAGGAAAAACTAATTGCATTTATGCTCTTACAACCGGTGCATCTGAATCTCAAGTCCTCATTGATGACTTTTATGTTGCATGACCGACCACCCAAGTAGAACCATTCTCGATATTTCTCTATATTAACCGTCACTGAGAATAATAAAAAAATGTCACCCCTAACTTCAAATCAATGTTATTCTTTCTCAATCAAATTGAACATCATAAAAAATGTGGCAAGAGGAATAATGTGGCTCAATATGTAAAATCCAATTGAACATAAACCTTATGCGCAAGAGGAAGGCAAAGAAAATATAGCTCACCAATGTAACTTAAGGGCCAAATCTGAATAATATCCAATAAGTTTTTTCAAGCAGGTTCCAATCATTAAAGATAAATGAATGCACATACACATCTACCTTCAAAATTAGTTAACTATACATTAGTTAGGATGATCTATCCTCTTTCAAGCACAACAATCATGTTTTTTTACCAAGCAAGGTAATCATGTTATGCATCCTTAGAATGGGGTGAAGGGGCTAAGGAAAGTAGAATTTAAAATTATTGAATAATACCATTACATAAATCCCTTCATTTGAGTAGGTAGCTTCTCAAGCTTTCTCAATATTTCACCCCCTTATGGACTTTTTCAAATGATGCATACTAACTTTTTAGCTTGCTTTTGTAGTTATGAGGCTGTGGCTGAGCAAGTGCCTCCTAGGTTCCTCCTCCAGTCATCCTTTGCTGCCTCTACTCGCAGCTGCACTGACACTAGACATCGGAAAACTATTTTCTTTTTTTTCCTTTCAAATCTCGTGAACCAAACATAGTGTATGTGGAAAAAAATTAAGGTAGACCCACTCACATAAGAACGAAATTTGAGAAGTGTGTCAAATGGAGGAGCTATAAACTCATGAAAAAGAAGAAAATACGCTATAAACTATCTAGAGAGACTGCGTGTGAGCAGGGGAGAGTGATGAAAGCATTCCCCCATATTGAAGGCAAACCCTTCTTTTATAAGGAATGAGAGAAGCATCTTCGGGAAATATTTTATTATTCGCCTTCTTTATTTAAGAAGTTTGATCGGATTGATCTTCATAAACAATACACAAATTTAGACCGAATTAAGTATTATTTTCCATCAAACCTAATACGGAGTATAGGATAAATTACAAAAGCCATTTGAAATGGCACATGTACATTTGAAATCGCACATGTACAAGAACCTTTTTTTATTATGAAATACTCCCTCCGTCCGGGAATGATGTTCCCGATTTTACTTTTCTTCATTTTTATGGAATGTTGACTTTAGCATGAAAATGTCCAAAACACCCTTGCAACCCCACCACTGCCTAACCCCCGTGCTAGAGTTTTAGCAGCCACCACCTCCCCAGCGTCCACCATTGCTCGCCCCACCCTCTCCCCAGCCCTGACCACCCCATCATCACTGCATCTGCCAGCAGTGAAGGATCCAGAAATTATAAGTATTGGGGGCAAACTAAAAAAAGTTTCGAATTTTAACCAAATTATAAAGAAGAGATGAAAGTTAACTTGAAGAATAAGGTGATATACTGATGTACAATGTCAAAAAGTTTCAAAAAATCATGGAGTACACACTATTAAGTAGTTTTTACTTTTTACTTTTTAAAACAATTGATTCTTGAAATTTGACAAATTGAAAACTTTCAAAAAGAGAAAGAAAGCCTCTTACTCAACTAATCAACTCTCAACTTGTGGTCCGTGGACTATGGATTGCGATTCTGCGACCGGCGGTGAATCAGGAAGCCGGTGAGCCGGTGAATCGGCGGCCGGCGGGATTTTGTAATTTATGCGGAAGAGGAGAAAAAGCTTCAGGAATGAAATTACTCCCTATATGGTTTCTAGTTTTCTATTGGGGGCAAGTATATCTTTTATTGGGGACAAGATTAGATTTTTAAAAAAATTATAGGTAATAATTAAAAAAATTTAAAAGTTGACTAGGGGCATGTGCCCACACTGCCAAAACACTTCATCCGCCTCTGTCTGCCAGTCCCGACCGCCAACACCAGAATTGCCACAACTGCACCATCTCCGTCAGCCCCGACCTCCATCGCACAATCTCTAGGAGAAAGAGAGAAAACAAAGAGGAGAAAGATGAGAAAAAGAAGATTAAACAGAGAATTCACAAATCTAGCATAGATCTACCGTAGATCCACCGCTGCCTTAGCTCCCGCCGCTAGACCATAGATCTAGAACAGATCTAGGAGGGGGAGAAAAAAAGCAAGTGTAGGAGGACATGGAGAAAGAAGGTTGAGGAGTAGGGATGACAACGGGTCGGGTTCAGGTTGGATAGTACTGTACCCGAACCCGACCCGACTTTTAAAACAGAAACCCAAACCCGACCCGAAACCCGACCTTTTAAGTTAAAAACCCGACCCGACGCGAACCCAACATTTCAACCCGAAACCCGAACCCGACCCGAACCCGAGTTTTAACCAATAATCAATTCGACGTATCCCAATAATTTTGAAATGATTAAATCTAATTTTTTCATGTCTCTTTTTTATGTCTCATTTTTATTAAGGAATTATAAAAATGATTATAAAAAGCATATTTGATATAGTAGCACTTTGTCAAGAAATTATACGGAGTTCTTATTATATCCATAGATAGACTTTTATGTATTAAAATATTCGTGTTTTAGTCGGGTCGGGTGCAGGGTTGGGTCGGGTAAAATTATAAATTCACACCCGACCCGACCCGATGTCGGGTTCGGGTAAAAAATTTCGGGTCGAGTTCGGATTATTTTATTCTCGGTTCGGGTTCGGATATTTTAGTAGTCGATCGGGTCGGTTAAGCTCGGGTTCGGGTTGAATTGTCATCCCTATTGAGGAGAAGAAAAAGAAAAAGAGGAGAAGAAGATCGGGGAGGGGGGAAGAACGAGAGGGAGGGAGAGAGATGAAGCAATTGAGGTGGGTGGCAGAAAAAAAGGATAATGAAAGAAGAAAAAAAGAGATTTAATGGGAGGTGTAGTTTAGGAAAAATTATGATAAAAAATAGAATGAAAACATCATTTCCAAACGGAACAAAACATACAATGGGAACATCATTTTCAGACAGAGAGAGTATTTTTTATTACCACACTCCAAGTTGGGATACTTCTCAAATAAAAAACCTCATATCTCTATTACTACGAACAATTTAAAAATTATTGGTTATAAAAACAGAAAATTTAGATTGAGGGTACAATTTTGCAAGTCAAAATATTTTGTGTTCACAAACTTTAAGATCCACACTCGAATACAACAGAGCAGAAAACAAGAAACAAGAGTACTTGGCACTACATAAATCTTTTGCAAAATTTGAATGCCAGTGTACAAAAGACCAATTCCTCCATGAAAATAAATGAAAAACTAAGCCTTGTATCCCCGGCTGTTTCTTCTTCCCCTGGCCTTCTCAAACTTCCGTCCCTTGGAACGCACATACGGCTTGGTGTGACTGTGGGGAACACCCGGAGCAGGACCGAAGTGTTTCACTGCTTCCCGTGCATTCTTAGGACCTCGCAGCAGAACCTGCAAACCAGCCATGAAAATTTACCAAGACTGAGATCAAACCATTCCAGCAGTTATTCCTCTTTCACATTAAGGGCTTAAATTCAGGCACCAAATGTTTATACAAATGCACGAAAGGGGAATTTGATTAATCTGGAGAACTCAAAGAAACTGTAAAGAGAATTTCTAGGAGACTGGCAAGTCAGAATATCAATAAGCCTCGAAAAGTGAGCTCATAGAGGCATTCACCCCTCGCGCATCTAATCACCTCATCATTCATGCCATAAACAAGATTAAAACCTTCACTAAAATGGCAAAACCTCCCGATTTGATAAAATACACATTCCACTCCCGGTCCCAAGAAAAATGCAACAAAAAACAGATACAATGAGTTTCAAGAACTGTTATGTATCCACATTTCAGTAGTCATTATGAATAATACACTTGATCTGGGATTCCACAAGAGGGAATAGATCAAGAAGAAACATAATGACACAAAACTAACAAGTGGAAGAGGAGACTCAAAAGGAGAACCCTTGAGGGAATCCCATCCATACCACAATCACAAGTACAAAGATCTGGATCTTCATATAATGCATGAGAGAGTTTATAATGAACTTGATGTAGCGTAGCTATGACTCAAAACGCTTCCATAGAAAAAGTGGAAGGCGATCTCAAGGGCTACGCAAAAATCAGATAAAACAAATCCAATAGCTATTCCTTTCATCACACTAACAGGGAATTATAATTACCAAAACGGTTGTTCAATTAATCAATAAATGGATTTAAGGATACAGTGGGTGTAGCCAAAATATCTATAAGCCTCATAGAATGAGCTCTTAGAGACATTCGACCCCGCACATCTAGTCACTTCATCATCCATACCATAAACTTGAACCAAACCTATTATAAAAGTCTCAGCAACTTGTCAATCTGATGAAATATACCTATCAGCCCCAGATATTATATCTATATGTATGATGAAAAATAAAATATTTGATTTTCATGAACTCGATGTACCCTCTTTCAATGGTCATTATCAATACACTTCTGGTTCCAGTGTCCCACAGTGGAGAATAGACCAAAAATAAATATAATGACTTAGCAATAGAAAATGGGAGAGAAGAGACTCAAAAGGAGAACCCTGAAGAGAATCCCATATATACCACAACCACAAACACAAAGATCGGGATCTCCATAAATGTGGGAGATGGTATAAATGTATTTGATATAGCGTAGCTATGACTCAAACACTTCCATTGAAAGAGTGGAAGGCGATCCTAAGGGCCACGCAATTCACTAAGATAATATTTTCTAAACAAGAACTAAAAAGGTAACAGCCAATGCAAATAGTCAACCACCATAGGCTGGCTATCTATGGTAGCATGCAGAAATCTATGAAATGTCATAGGGGCAAACCATACATTTCACAATTTTAAAATTTTGTTGAAAAATATAAAACAGTTCATCTCATCTATTTACATTTGCACAAGTTTTTTTCCAATTTAAAGGCTAACTTTATTTGAAAACATATAGGTTGAAAGCAAGCACAGAATATAAAAGAAAACACTAAAAGCAAATGCTTGTAGATTTAATACCGTATTCTGTCCTAATGGAGCCCTAAGAGCAAGCTGATCAAATGTCATGCATTCTCCACCAGCATTCTCGATCCTTGCCCTTGCAGTTTTGGTGAACCTCAGTGCACAAACCTTCATAGCTGGGACTTCATAAGCCCTAACGTCGTCTGTGATAGTCCCCACCAACACTGCAATCTTATCCTCCTTTACAAAATCATCAAAATATTAGTGAAAATCAACATACAAGACCAGATTATGAGAGAACTATACAAAAACATCACAAAATCATAAAAACAGTTTTTAAGCACACACTTTTCCAGACATGAAAGAGATCAGCCTGGAGAGGGAGAGTGGGGGCCTGTTCGTCTTGCTCATGAACAAGCGTTTCAGAATCACAGAATCGAACTTGCTTCCGGTCCTTCGTACCAAAAAACGGTAAAGCTGTAGCAAATCGAGCAATTATTCAATGCTCCAGAACCCAGATGAACAAAATGCACATTTGAAGGCATAAACGCAAACTAAGAAAGATCTGATCAAACCTTCACGAGAAGCTTCAGGTAAACATCCTCCGATTTCGGCGCTGTGCGCTTAGTCTGCTTGCTCTTACCTCCAGCTTTCAGATCGATACCCTACAGGGAAGAGAGTTGAACAGACGACATTGGTATAGAGACGTTAAAGGTATACACGCAGCGTGGATAGTTGGCTATAGGAAATATTACCATGGCTGAGCTCCGCTGAGATGAAGTTCCGTTGCCGCCGCAGTGGGAGGGAAAATGAGGGTGCGGCGGAGTGTTATATTATGCGAGACCAGAGAAATTAGGGTTTGCATTAGGGCGTGTTTGGAAGTTGCATTGATCATTGAAAGTTTCAATTCGAAAATATTCTCTCACTCTTTTAAACTCTTCCCCTTTCTTTTTTTTCTTGTCTCACTAACTTCTTCACTCATTTATTAAAAAACCACATTTATCTCTTATTTTTTCATACTTTACCTGTCACATCATACTTTTTTACTAATAATCTATCCATCATATCTTACTTTTATCTATCAAATCAAGGGTAAATTTTACCCATGGTATACGAACTTTCATTATTATTTCACTTCGGTATATAAACTTTAATTTCTATCACAAAAGTACACGAACTTTCAACATTCTTTCACTAGTGATCCAATAGGCGGTTTCCAAGTCACCTTCCGGTCATTTGGGGTCAAATTATAATTTTATAAATTTAAATTTTATGATTCTGACCATTTTCCTTTTTTTCTTGATTTTTCACCCTTTTCTTCGTCTTCTTCAACACCCCCACCCTCTTCCTCCATTTTTTTCTTCTCTTCTTCTTCCACCCCACCCCACCCTCACTCCACCTCCACCATTTTCTTCTCTTCCTCTTCCAGCCCCACCCACCCCACTCCACCCATTTTTTTCATTCTTTTTTCTTTTTCTTCTTCTTTCCTTCTTCTTCTTTTCTTCTCCCCTTTTTCTTCTATCAGGGCATGCACCTAGCTTTATACTACGTATTTAATATCAATAATAATATTATTATTAATAAGAATAACAATAACAACAATAGTTATACTCCCTCCGTCCCGAAAAATATGGGAGTTTTGATTTTGAAGAGAGATTTAAGGAGAGTGTATTTTGGTATTGAATTTCCAAAAATGTCTTTTGATGTGATGGGTAAAAGTACGATTTGATGGATAGATTATTAGTAAAAAAGTTATGATGTGATAGGCAGGGTATGAAAAAGTAAGGGGTAAAAGTGACTTTTTAATAGAAATGAGAAGTGTTTTTTGGGACGGATAAAAAAAGAAAGGTGAAATGTTTTAGGGACGGAGGGAGTATTTATTACTCCGTATTATAATCATAATAATTGGCGGGTGACCGGATCGATGAAGGGACTGCTGGGAAAATGCTTTAAATTTATGTACCGAGTATAATTATACATCATGATATATTTTTTGAAGAAGAAATGATGGGGGGTACGTAGAAGAAAAAGGGGAGAAGAAAAGAAGAAGGAGAAGGAAAGAAGAAGAAAAAGAAGAAAGAATGAAAGAAATGGGTGGGGTGGGGCGGGGCTGGAAGAGGAAGAGAAGAAAATGGTGCAGGTGGGGTGAGAGTGGGGGTGGGGGTGGAAGATGAAGAGAAGAAAAAAATGGAGAGGAAGGGTGGGGGTGTTGAAGAAGATGAAGAAAAGGTGACTTAGAAACCGTCTATTAGACCACCGGTGAAACAATGTTGAAAATTCGTGTACTTTTGTGATAGAAATTAAAGTTTATATACCGAAATGAAATAATGATGAAAGTTCTTATACCATGGGTAAAATTTATCCATCAAATCAAAGATATTTTTGGAATGTCAACACCAAAATATACATACCTTAATTTTCCAAAAAGTCAATAAGGAAATAACTTTAAGGGACGAAAAGAGTAATATTTTATTGCACCAATATCCTTGTTGTAGTTTATTTGATAAATATATAATATTAGATTTCAAAATTTACATCGTTGTTTCTCCTAGTTTGATAATTTTTATATTTTCATAATAAAAAAACTAATGTACATTTCATTTGTCATAAATTAAACACTTCTTGTTTTTTGTCAAAAAAAAAACTTTATTAGTTCATTTTCATGAAACAAAAGTCAATAAAACAAATGATGCTCATTTCTCATTTTCTGTTCATTTCTCATTAGTAATGTTAATTCTAATAAACACTAAACTGTAACACTATAATCCGTCCAGGTCTGCAGCCCCTTTCAGACTAAAGTATTAACTTGGTAATCGTAAAATTTAAAACTTTTCAAACACTTTTATTTATCACAATAATAATTTTCATAGCATAAACAGTACGAAGTATTCAACAATATTGCGGAAGCTTAACAAATCATAATCACAAACATAATTCAAAACCATCACATCCATTCCGACAATCTTGTCTCGTCTGCCTCCAGGATCATGTCACATCATTCTTTCTATTATTTGCGTGTAGCAAATAAAATATACTACACGCACAGCGGTAAAGCTGAGTAAGCATATCTAATGCGTCGAAGATCCATATAAACAAAATCTCAATTCATAATCAAATCATTTGATGTCATACACATAATGTTCAGTTCAGATGTTCAATAATCAATATTCAATTTTCAACATTCATGATTCCATCATTCAACATGTATATTCATCATTCATATTCAACAATTTATTCAACATTCGTCATACAGTATTCATCTTTTGTCATTCAACAATATCTTTAAACTATGCTTAGTCTAAGGTCAATCTTTTTTATGTTTACCAACTCTTAAACTAATTCTAGTTCAAGGTACTTCTATCCAACTCTTAAGCTAGGTCATTAGTTTAAGGTACATATATTCCGATTGATTTACCAACTCTTAAACTAGCCTTCGCTTAAGGTACAAATCCAAAAACCGAACAGTAGAATACTAACTGTCGGGTTGGGTGGTATCCCCAACCGAGTGCCTCTAGTTTGGTTATGGATCCTGTACGTACGTTTTTACCCAAGGCCACCGAATATACGTTTTATACCCGCAAGGCCTATTCTAGTCACGGGTCTATCTTAGAGGTGTTCTAAGTAGCCTTAACAATACGATCCATTAATTCATTATTCTCCATTTAACAATTCATGATCGTCATTCAGAATATACATCATTATTAATTTATCATAATCACTAATCAAACAATCATAATATCTAATAACAAATAGCGGCCTAGTATCAAGTGTTAACACCCGAACTTACCGTCATGCATCACATAATGTTTTATATGTTAAAAACATCATTTTTATTATGCTACATCATTTTTCCAATGATCATAATCAATTGGTGGCGTTTAGAGCATATATTTCCAGAATATTTTCGGAACAGGATTTGGACTTGAGAAAAATTGATTTTTATTTTTAAAATAATCAATTAATACCTAAAAATCAATTTTTATATTTTAAATAATCCATTAATAGCTAAAAATCGATTTTTATATTTTAAATAATCAATTAATTGCTAAAAATCGATTTTTATATTTTAAATAATCAATTAATTTCTAAAAATAGATTTTTATATTTAAAATAATCAATTAATTTATAAAAATCAATTTTTATATTTAAAATAATTAATTGATACTTAAAAATCAATTTTTAGTTTTAAACTAATCGATTAATACTTTTTAAATCGATTTTTATATTTAAAATAATCGATTATATACAAACTTCGAACATCTCATCTGAACAAAGTTCTAATCGATTCTTATGAAGGAAATAATCGATTTTCGGTTACTTTGCATGAGTTTTCATCATCTTCTTCCTCTGGTCAATTTTTAACATTTTCATTTTTAATTACCAAACTTCAATTAAATTATATAAAAATGTTCCCCAATGTTCACAGATCATTTTAGAGTCATTAATTCGTAGTTTTAACAACAATTTCATGGTTTATGATTCTTGGTTCATCAAACATATCAAACACAAAACTCAACCAAACGACCGTTTATGAACGTAGAAACGATCTATATGAACATTCTAATTACTAGATATATCTACGGGCTTACCTCAAAACAAAATGGAGGGTTTGAAGATTTACTGGCGAAACTTCCGACAACGATTACTCCCAACTTCGGCGACCTCACACCAATATGACAGCACCAATATGACGGCACCCTCACTTTCAAGAATAGAATGGTAATAAACTTATTGAGTTTTGGTGAAGAATGAAGAGAGTGAGGGTGGTTTATATAGGAGAGAAATGGAGAAGAAGCCAAGCTTGTGATGTATTCATCCCTGTTTTGGCGTCTCAGTGGGAAGGGCTGCGATCTTCACGATTCATAATGCAAGTCCCTGATTGGGACTAATTTTGGTCCCAATCGGGAATACTTTTTTGTCCAACTTTCTCCGAATTGAAATCCGATTGAATCGTTGGAATCAGACAGTTAAACTCTACCCAACGACATAACTTTTACATTTATTTGTAATACTTTTTCTGTCATCATATTTTTGGGTGCTTGACTTTGATAGAGTCAAAATTGATTTTGTTTGACCTTTACTCAAAAAGGTGCTCATATTCAATTCATAATATTTATTCTTATGATTTATTTCAATAAGCCATTTCATCATAAACACATTATTCATTTATTCTTGATTTTGGATCTGTACTCAGATTCCCAATCAAGATCACACAATTAGTCAACATTTTGGATTTATTTTTATGAGACTTATCCTGATTTTAATATTAGATATTAAACACATATTATTTCGGTATAAAGCCCAACAATAATTTATTTTAATCAAATTAAATTTGATTAATTGGATAATTATCTATTAATAATTCTAGGCTATGTTTTGGGGCGTTACATAAACAATGCACCACGCCAAAGCAAAAATAAATACTCCCTCCATCCTATATTGATCTTCCCACTTCCCTTTTTTTTCCGTCCTGAAATCATCTTCCCACATACTTTAAATATACATGTAATGACTAAAATACCCCTAAAAGGTTAAAACATTTATTACTCACCCACCCCATACCCAACCCACCCCTTTATCTTCATTTTTCACCGCCCACACCTCTGACCTTATCTCTTCCTCTCCTTCGTTCTTACACCAGACTTACGACCACTCTTCCCGTCTGTGTTCCCGTCCTGCTCAGTTTCCGTCGACTCCCCTGCGTAGCCGTTCGTCGTCCGACGGTTTCACAACAGCACCGACGACCTCCGTCCCAGGGAAATAGTCGACGACCACCATCTCTCCCTCTCTCTTTCCACCGGTGTGCACGAGTCGGTCGAACATGGGCAGCGACGGTTCCTCCTCCTCGAACCCGAGTTTAATTCTTCCATTTCGAGGTGATTCGTTGCTCAAATATCTATCGTTAGCGTTAATTCGTAGATTAGGATCTTGTTTGTATTAATCTTGCGATTGATTGTGAAATTGTGTGAATTGATTGTTGGGATTATTGATTTGGATGTTGAACTGGTTGGGGGTTTTGTAGGGGTTTGATTCTCGGCCAGATTCCGGTGAGTCGCGCCGACGGACCGCTAGTAGTGGCTAGGGACGGGCTGGACAGGTTCAATTTGGACCCAATTGGGTAAATTTGGGTCCAATGGTTTTTTGGTGTCCTCCAGTTTTTTTTAGTACAGTGCACAAGTTTTTTTATAGGGAGGGTATAATTGGAAGTTAAAGTGCAAAAATTCAATCCCTTAAAAATGAACACTAGTGAAAGCGGGATGATCAATATGGGACGGAAGGAGTAATACTGAAAGAGGTGCTCAATATCCCCATATGTTCTTCCACACATTGTAAATGCATTATTAATAGAGAAAATTTATAAAGTCTAACCTTAGTGTGAACCCTCAATTTCCAAATCGGGCAAATAGCCAAATAATAAAGGGATGTTTTACAGTATAAAAGTTATTCCACACGAGCTACTACATTCAACTCTGGGCCTATCCCTCATGAGCCAAAGGTACACTCTCTAAACATCATATTTGGGTCATTAAAACATATTATGAAATATTCTCTTGACCTTGAGCATCTTTTTACAATAATGCCATGATTGTTGTTTGATACTTCCAAGTATTATACCCTTTAATGTATCTTTCATTCACCATTTAATCCATAACACGTCTTTCTTGTTATCAACATTCCATATAAATAATTTAACTTGTTCCTAGTTTATGATACATTGTTTTTGTACTCTAAAGAACTCCAAACAATATTCCTATCAACAACTTCATTTTTCCTCGTGATAATATTATGGATGAAAAAATTTTTGCTTCAAAGAAAACAATACCATAGAGAGTAAAGTTAACGAGATTAACTATGCGAGTATAAAACAAGTGTATAGTTGTCCTATGGTTCATCTTTGTAGTTAATTTTTCCACCAACCGATCACACACTCTCTCACTCATCCTTGACATTGTGATAGATCCACTTAAGTATCTGAAAGAAAACACTTTTTTAGTCATTTAGATAAGAACTAAAAATTTGCTCTTAGTATCACTTCTGACTCCACATATAATGATTTGAAATTGGCATAATTTGATAATAATTGGTATTATTAAATAATGAATATTATATATATATATATATATATATATATATATATATATATATATATATATCAAGGATTACAAGAGAGAATCATAATTAGAATAGAAGAATAATGGTAACAATAAAACAAGAAAAATCAGAGAATAAAGAATAACTAATATTTATTTCTTATTATCCTCCGCAAGCTAAGGCTCTATTCTGTACGTCTGACTTGACTGAATCTCATCTAAAATTTTAAAGTTATGATCTGATCTGATTAGATCTGATGTGATTTGATAGCATCTGATGTGATTGGACCTAATCTGATATGATATTATTGGGTTTGATCTGATCTCATCGAATCTGACCAGATATGATCTGATTGAATATGATCTGATATGAATGAATCTGATCTGATTTATCTAATTAGATGTGGTGTAAATAAATTTAAATTTAATTTAAATTATACTTAAAATTATTGCAAAATTTAATAGTTTTAAAGTATTAAAATTTATATATACATAAAAAAGTAAAATAAGAAAATTAGCTAATCATTGATATATTTAAACTTTTTTTGAATTATTAAACATCTTTTCAATATCGCTACTTTTTTTAATTTTTGTAAAAACTAAATAATCGATATTAAAATAACCAAAAATTAGAAAATATGGATGCTATTGTACAAAAATATCACACTCTATATGCATATTACATAATAGTATATTTCATGTTACAAAAAGATCATATAAAATTTTAAACACTAATATCCCTTCCACCTCTATCAATTTTGTCATAAACTCACCCTTGTGTATATTATATCATCATAAAGTTTAAAAGTAAGTGTTTTTAAGTATAAAATATTTATGGTTTTAAAAATTAAGTTTTGTATAGTTATTTTATAAACAAGTATTTTAAAATAACTCTGTCTAAAGTATGAAAAATACAACTAATTAAGCTTTAACATTGTTCTCATGCATCATTCCTACCTTACAAGCTAAACAATTATTAAAAGTAATGGTTTGTAGTTGAAATATAATAATAATATAACAATAATATAACAATAATAATAATATTAAAACAATAATATAACAATAATATAACAATAATAATAATCATTCCTACCTTACAAGCTAAACAACTATTTTTTCTTTATTTAATATTATTGGATTTGATCTGTTCTGATCTGATTTGACTGGACATGGTCTGATCTAATTGAATCTGATCTGATATGAATGGATTTGATCTAATCTGATAGGTCTGATCTGATCTAATTAGGTATGATCTGATCTGATTTTAATAAGAATAAGTAATAAGTAGAAAAAAAGTTATACGACACGAACCCTAAACTGGTCAATAGAGACGAGGGAGAGCTTGGAGCATAAGCATTCAACCAAAGTGCGCAAAAGTAATTTTGTCAAAATATCAGCTACATGTTTAGAAGACGAAACATGATAAGTAGACTTGTACTAGCTATGGCTTTATCCCGCACAAAGTGACAATCGGAGCTGAATGCTTCTTACGATCGTGTAAAATAAGATTCTTTGTGACATAGATGGCAGATTCATTATCATAATACTCCCTCCGTCCAACAATAAAGCTCCCACTTTCCTTGTTGGGATGTCCACAATTAATGTTCCCATTTCTATTTTAGGCAATAAATCTAAAGTGAAAAGTCTTTTATACCCCTCTCACTTTCACTCACATCACATACCCCACTACCCACCTTAATTAATTCAACCCCCCACATTAAATCCCACCCACTCACATCCACTCATTATTCTATCTCCTTGTTATCTCCTCTCTTCTTCAACACCTCGTTTTCTCCTCCAACCAGCTCATTCATTTTTCTCTCGTTCATTCTCTTAGATCCAGATCTTGGATCTCTGATCTTCGTCCTCCCAACTCTTAAGTTGCTCTCTCCTGTACCCAATTCGTATGGAGTCTGAAGATTATCCTCTTGTTTCTGTAGTCTCAGACACTCCAATCGTCTGCGCCAATGATGGGAATCAGGAGATCGAACAACTTTCCCCAAATTGCCATGGCGATGAAGGTGAGATTGTGGCAGCCGTGGTGCCTGATTTCGAGGAAGAAGACGAACCGTCTGAAGCTTTGATGGCCCCAAGCTTTGGGTTCGTGTATGTTAGAAATCATGCATGTGACAGCTTCCTAAAGCTTATGTTCCCAGGCTGGGATTCACCCAAGTATGAATATCTTTTCCCAATTTACTGCTTGTCTTAACATGTGTTGCTGTTCTGAGCATGCTCCGATGAAGTGTTGTTGTTTACTCTGGAGTATGTTGTTAAATTGTGCACTTCTGTTGTATCTTACCTCTTCTCGATTACCTCTGAGCAAGCTGTGATGTAGAAATATTATTAGAACTGAACTTCGATTGTTTGATTACACATAGATCTCATATTTATAATAGCTACAAGACTATGACCTAATTACGAGCCCAACAAGAATGAGCCCATTAACGACAAACCCTACAACATTCCTTAACACTCCCCCTCAAGTTGAGCATGAGATTAAGGAATGCACAACTTGGACAATTAAAACAAAACTAAGACTAGAAAAATTGATAAACAACTTGAACTTGATCTGCTGTGACAACAACGAACAAAGGTGACCGGCCCTGCAAACGAACAATAAATTTTGATGACGAATGACTCCCACGCGGTGACACGGGGACGACTAACAAGCATCCCAAACTTGGAGGCCGTGTTGCCGGACTGAGGCGCGACTATGCGACCAACCTCACAAACTAATATGTCGAACTGAGGCGCGACTATGCGACCAACCTCACAAACAAACATGTCGAACATACAGCTTGTTGCACTTGAACATACGAAATAGCAACCAAAAAACAATGTCATCAAAACGTCAACAAAACGGCTGGACGGAATACTTAACATGAACCTCTTTGGCAGACTGCAAACAAAATCAATATCCACTAAGATTTTTGTTGGATCTGGATGAAACCACATAAACAAAAGATTATGACACCACAACTTGATAATTGCGGCTAGGTGCATATTTTGGCAACACCTATTTTGAAACTCTCTTGATGATGGATGTTGGATGACGATTCGGAAAAGTGAGGACGGACGAACCAGGTTGAGAGGATGGATCTGCTGGGTCGGGACGGATGAACAAAGCTGCGAAGCTGCTAGGAGCCTAGGACGGATGATTCTGCTGGAGGAGCAGATCTGCTTGGACGAAATCTGCTGGACGGGCAAATCTGCTATATCGCTGGAGCAGACAGACGGATCTGCTGGGCGAACGGAACTGCCAGACGGACGGACGGATGGATTTACTGGACGGAACTTCTGACGGACAACAGCCCGGCGGACGGCTAATGGNCAACACCTATTTTGAAACTCTCTTGATGATGGATGTTGGATGACGATTCGGAAAAGTGAGGACGGACGAACCAGGTTGAGAGGATGGATCTGCTGGGTCGGGACGGATGAACAAAGCTGCGAAGCTGCTAGGAGCCTAGGACGGATGATTCTGCTGGAGGAGCAGATCTGCTTGGACGAAATCTGCTGGACGGGCAAATCTGCTATATCGCTGGAGCAGACAGACGGATCTGCTGGGCGAACGGAACTGCCAGACGGACGGACGGATGGATTTACTGGACGGAACTTCTGACGGACAACAGCCCGGCGGACGGCTAATGGCGGTGGCGCCGCCCGCCAGGAGCGAACGAAACAATTTTTAGGCCACCAAGAACGTTGGGTAATAAGACACTTGGGTTGAACCACATTAAAAGATTGAATTCAATCGATTAGTTAGTTTAACTCAAGAGCTTATATACCGGATTATTTTACTCTTGGACTTCCGATGTGGGATGCACTCTAACACTCCCCCTCAAGTGGACAACCGGGCCATTTTGAATCTAACCGGTTGACCACTTGCAAATGAACTCCCATTCCATTGATTTTTTTTTTAGCGCCAACACCTAAAGGACCACGAGTCGCTGGGTATGGACTTCCAGACGAGCAATCGTGTTAAACGGGCCACAGGCCGTTGGATACATACTCCATACGGACAACTGGGCTAAAGACAAACGGGCCGCTAGGAATGAACGTCTAGACGGACACCTTGACAAACGAGGTGGGCCAAAACCTGCTCCGATACCATGATAGAATTTAGGATGGGGTAGTGATAACTGGATTGGGTAATAAGACACTTGGGTTGAACCACATTAAAAGATTGAATTCAATCGATTAGTTAGTTTAACTCAAGAGCTTATATACCGGATTATTTTACTCTTGGACTTCCGATGTGGGATGCACTCTAACACTCCCCCTCAAGTGGACAACTGGGCCATTTTGAATCTAACCGGTTGACCACTTGCAAATGAACTCCCATTCCATTGATTTTTTTTTTTTAGCGCCAACACCTAAAGGACCACGAGTCGCTGGGTATGGACTTCCAGACGAGCAATCGTGTTAAACGGGCCACAGGCCGTTGGATACATACTCCATACGGACAACTGGGCTAAAGACAAACGGGCCGCTAGGAATGAACGTCTAGACGGACACCTTGACAAACGAGGTGGGCCAAAACCTGCTCTGATACCATGTAGAAATATTATTAGAACTGAACTTCGATTGTTTGATTACACATAGATCTCATATTTATAATAGCTACAAGACTATGACCTAATTACGAGCCCAACAAGAATGAGCCCATTAACGACAAACCCTACAACATTCCTTAACATGTGATGAAAAATCTGAGCAAGCTGTGATGAGGTTTCTTATTTCTTGTGTGAAATTTGGCACTTGTTACTTGTGTGAAATTTATTTGTGCATGTAGCAACAAGTAGTCTATTATTCCATGCCTTTCTAAGTTTGAAAGTTTTTTTGTCCTTTTCTCTTGTGTGTTTTGGGATTCTCTTTGTAGTGTTTGTGTAGGACTAGATGGATCCATTCATGAGATTGAAATGGCAGTGGCTGCAAATACAAAAAGAAAAGTGGTCTCACATGGTAGAAAGAGAAAAAAAGGAGGGCCAATGTGTGTCTGGTAAAAGAAAGTTCCCAAAAGAGGAAGAAAAGAGAAAAGATATGGGAGATGTTATGCTGCTGGAAAAAAGAGAACTGCCACAGGAAGAAAAGAGAGAATAAAGACTTTGGAAGCTTTCAAAAAAGGGAATGGCAGTACTCCAGGAGTATTAATAGCTGGTGAAAATGTAATGGGAGGGAAATTTTTTGTTTTTGGGGGGGACTTTGAATTTTTGACAAAATTTGGCATTTGGAATGCCGTGTAACCTTGTGTACTTGTTGGGATTTTTTTACTCCGTATGTTTTTGTGGCTGTGATTTGGAGTAGTAGTTTAACTTTATGTACTTTTTGGAATATTTTAAGTTTTTAATCATTATCAATCAAATCATCACTATTTTTACTTTATTCACTTTTTTATTTTTTATCACTTTATTTTAATTTAAAGAAGGGCAAATTTGGAAAGTCAAGGAAATTTTTACACTTCTTTAAAGTGCGTGCCCGGTCAAACCGAGAACTTTAATCTTGGACGGAGGGAGTAAATCTTCAGTTTGGAAGGAGGAATGCCAACCGCATCAGTAATATAATGAAGGCATATGGCCTCCGCCACCCTGCGGCGATGGCACTAACTCGGCTACACAAGTCTATTTCTTTATGCATCAAGACATAAGATTTGGCCTCTTCTAGACTTGTATTTGGGATATTTCACCTTCAAATTTCGTTGCCCTTTGTTGAATAAATGGAAGTTTTGTTGCCTTAAAAAAGTTATGTTTGATTTTATTTACTTAAATATTGATGAAAATTTATAAGCAAAAAATATATTTTTAAAAATTGCATTGTACAATAAAATTCTACTCATTCTATCCAAAAATTAGGGATGGGCAAGAATTCCGAAGCCATTGTCCCGACCTAAAATATCTCGGTACCATCTCTATAATGTATCGTTTTGTTAGGTATGATAAAATTGTCCTGAATATGTTTTGAATCGTTTTGTTAAGGATGCTAAAATTTTGTCCTGTTATCCCATATATATGTATATTTTTATTTATTTATTTCATGATATAACAAAAAAAGTATCATAATTTTTATTTTTCTCAAACTAGATATGAAAAATATTCAGATTCAAATATCCTAAAAAAATGGGCTAGAACTAGAACAACTAAAAGTTCAGAGCGTTCTAACCCGATTCACCCCAATTTATGGCTAAAAGTTTTAATGAAACTTATAGTCTTTACTTTTGACGTATGTTGTAACATTTTCTCATATTTTCAAATTGTTTTTGCTTTTTTAAAACATTCTAAATAAATATATCAATTTTTGATTACTTTACTAGTCAAAGTGGGTTGCCTCCCCTTATGTATTTTATAATTTTATATCTGATTTTAGATAATGACCAAGCAGGACAACTCGAACCCATTTCATTTTATCCCAATCCCGAATATTATGAGACAAAGAGGGATAAACTTATTGCCTGAACTGTTCAAAAATGGGACAAAGAGCGGGATGCTATAAAACCCGAACCGTCCCGATCTCTGTCCAGCCCTACCAAAAACATTCTTTCAATTTCTATTTTAAAGGTTTGATTGAAATTTGAATGGAGGGCCCACTTCCTCCCTTTTCATATATGCAATCATTTATAGAAATTTTATAGGATAATATTCTGATAGACATTGTGAGATTATATAAATTTTCAAAAAACAGTTTGTTATAAGGAACATCAATGTGTGGAGAGAAATAAGATCCAAGGTGTAGAAGGAAATAAGATCCAAACTAAATTTAACGCGTAAGGGAAAAATCATACTCCCTCCGTCTCAACTTTAATCGTCTGTTTCGATTTATGATGTTGGACTGAAAATATTTTTATTACAATCTATTTTAGAATTAGAGTAGAACAAAAAAAATAAAATTTACATATAAAAAAATACATAAAAAAGTTATACGGAACAAGATGTGACATTACTATTAGTTTATCAAATGAGAAACAATAATAAAAAAAGAAAGTAAATGAAATTTAACTTGCGAATAGAAAATACAACTTAATTTAGGACGAATGAAATAATTTTAATACAATGAAAAATATTTTAATTGCACAAATTAAAATACTAATAGTTTCTAAGAATTACTAATAATTTTTTATAATAGTTTTGATCTGATCTGATATGATCTGATATGAATGTAGTTATATTTAAAACTATTTTTAATCTGATCTAGTTCGATCCGATTCCAATAAAAATAAATGGTAAGTAAAAAAATAAGTTAGAGATCTATAAATACCTGTTTTTGCCTTGATATATATTTGGTGTACCATTATTCCATACGGTGAGATTCTCATGACATTGGAACCATATGTCATGGGATGATCCAGGTAGGGGTGGACACGGTACGGTTCCGGGACGGTTCCGGTTCCGGAACCGCCGGTTCCGGTACCGCCACCCCGAGTAACCGGATAGTATACCGTGCCGGCCGGTACCGGTTCCGGTTCCCGGACCGGCGGTTCCGGTACCGGACCGGCCGGTTTCGCCCCCCCCCCCCCTATTTTTTTTTTAATTTTTAAATTATAAAAAATTGCAATTGTTTAAGGAAAGAATGCAATTGTTTCGCCCCCCACCTTTTTTTTTTAACTTTTTTGCATTTCAAATCAAAAAAAAAAAAAAAATTATACCGGTACCGGAACCGGACCGGTACCGCCGGTACCGGTACCAAAAAATAGGTACCGGAACCGGTACCGAAAGTGGCGGTACCGGTACCGGTTCCCGGAACCGGTGACACGGCGACCTTGCCGGTGACGGTGGCGGGTACCGGCGGTACCGTTGCCGGTGACGGTACCGTACCGGTACCGTGTCCACCCCTA